ATTTTTCAACAAACATGTAATACATCTTTCCAACAGAGAAACATTTGAACATTTATAGGTTTGTTTCACTTCTTTATACTAATGAACTCACCACTGCTCCACCACTTTGTGCCATTTATGATGTAGTCATCTCCATCCCTGTTTAGAATGCACTCCATGTTGGCTGCATCACTGGAGGCGACGCCGGGCTCTGAGGAGAAATTAACCATCATCCATAAACTTGAGTTGAGACGTGTAACGTATCAAAGGTTAAATTTTCATCAACATGACCAGAAAGTTACTTTTAATTTGCAGACACACCATCTGTCTGGCATCCTCTAAAGAAAAACAGGTGTATGCCATGCAACTAGCCAAAGAAGCCATAACATTGTTGCTAAAGGCCTCGTATGAGACTCCTGCATTTTTCACTCTGAATAAAGTTAATCTTGAATTATAAATGACTTTACAAGTCATAGGCTGAAATAATCAAATGTGTTGAATGAACAAGATGTAAATGCTAAAATGTTTGAATAATCTGTGCTTTAATCAATGATGTGTTTAAAATGAATACTGTAATGTTCCTGCAATGGCCCATTTCAGATCTTAATTACACCTGATTAGTATGTGTTGATTTAACAAGTTCATCTATCAGTATACTCATGCACATTATAAGATTATAATTAAGGTTTAACATTCACTTCACAAATGTTTAAACATTCTCATTCACACAAAGCGTTAACCTCTCTGAGTATCTGACTGAAGGCATGACATTCTGAGGTGTTTTGATAATACCTTCAAACGTGTCAAATTCTGATTTGCACAGGTTTATATACATGGAAGGAGATAAAACAGAATAATTTCGATCTAATTTAGTTTCTAGCGGACTCCTGATCCAGCCAAATCGGTGAAAAAGCATTTTTGAAACCATCCTCTTTTTGACCTCAAGGTCAAAGCCTCTCTGCAACGCTTGCGAGTGAATACACTCAACGGCTCTTTTAAGAGCCACGGAACAGCCTTAGATGCAAAACAAGCATTCCAGCTTCCTGTCGTCACCTGGAGAGGTCTCAAGACTAGACGGGTCGTATCAGAGCTAATCTACGGTTCCTGATACCGAGAGGTTCACTCCACTGGCAGTGTCCACCACGACCTCTTGACCCCCTGGATTGCACGAGAATCTCCACACAAGGGTGCGTAGACTCGGCACAAATTGCGTCGGATGGTTTTATAAACAAATCTCTAGTTTACCAAACAGACAGCCAGACTGATTTTACAACCCAGACTCCACAAACTCTCTCAGATACTTAAGAAAGGTTTTGCTAAATCATCTAGCTCCCATTCCATCATTTCATCCATCACAATAAATCACTTCTTATCCATTACATGACATCATTCCATTCATACCTCGTCTTTATAATCATTAGTTTAAGAAAATAGAAATTAATTCATTTTTATAAACTAAACTTGACTCTGTCTGAATTAATATGAAGTGTGTTTGTGGTCCCTGAATAAGTAAAAGAAACGAAAATCTTCTGATTAAACATTCAAAGACCAATCAGGTTGATATTTCATATTTCTATGGAATTATCACATCTTATTGATCATTCAGTACAGATGTAGCCAATCCTTAACGCTACAGATGTAACGCTCAAAATCAGCTATTTGTGCAAATTATAGATTTTAACAGAAGAAATGTTTTTTACAGATGTGTGTTTTTGTTCCACAGTGATGAAATCTTCCTAACTGAAACCCTGCTGCCTGTGTGGAGTCATGTCAGCTCAGTAGGTGGCTCAGAACCTGTTTGTTTTTAGATTTTTTACATAAAGCAGACTTTCTGATGCTAGATAGTATGGAGTTGTTTCTTTTGTTTCCTCTGATGACGTGGGCATAAGTCTACCTGTCATGCAGAAGCAGGAGCGGATTTCTCCTCTCAGAAGAGGCTCCAGCCACTTCTTCTTCTGCTCCTCGCTGCCAAACATGTGCAGCACCTCCATGTTTCCTGTGTCTGTCGAATACATTTTTCAATATATCAGGGCAGAATATCAAAAACTATGTTTTTTTGTTAAGCTTTGAGGGAGCCGTTAAGATTTGCATGTTAGAATTAAGAACACGTCTTATAACAAAAAAAAGAACTTAATACTTTGATGTTCCGCCATAAATTCCATTTTATTTTTCCCCATTATAAAATGAAATAAAATAAAATAAAATAGAATCTAAAAAAAAAATCCAAATTAAATACATTTTTTATTTCATTCTGATTTTCAAAAATTACCTAGACTTAGTAATTACTAAACACTACAATTAAAAAAATCCACATTTTTAACGATTCTGTATAAAGATGAATGTCATTTCAACACAAAGAAGGCAATCTTTTAAGGTTAACTGTGGAGCTAAAAATAAAAGGACGTTTCACCTGGAGCCTGACAGTTAAAGACCTCAGGGGCAAAGAAGCAGCGTCCAGTTTCCTCTGCGATGTAGGCATAATCCACCTGAGTGAGTCCGCTGACGGCAGGCAGGAACAGGTTCCACAGCCCCGCCTCTTTGGCTTTCTCCTGGATTCTCAGATCAAAGAAAACACAAATCATTTCAGATTGATGGATCGGCGATGCAAATCTGAGCTCAACCGACTAAATCAGACAGTGGTTTATATATTCTTCATTATAAAGCAGTATTATATTGATTGTTTAAAGTGCTAATGGTGCTTTCTGAGTGACAGAGGAGGTGCATAAATTACACCAACGCCGTCAGACCAGGGGTTCGCAACCTGCAGCTCTGGAGCCACGAGTGGCTTGTTAGACCTTCCACAATAGCTTTTAATCATTTTGGCTAGAAATTATATAAAACAAAACTAAACAAAAATAAAAACTATGTTTGGAATACAGATCAAAGAAAATAAATGCAGGTTATAGCAGCTTTTCTGTTTTTTGTTGTTGTTGTGTGGACATAAAATTTCCAAAACAGAATGACAGTAAAATATCAGTAATTTTTTCATATTTTTTTTATATATCATTTGCCACAAACATCACCATCTCAAAGGAAAAAAATATTCTCTTAATTTTTAAACTTTATGACAAATCTCTCACAGTATTTATTTACAGAAGAAGAATAGAAAAACGATTTCTGATTTTATTCTCAGAGTTCTGGCTTTTTTTCCCCATCAGAATTATTAAAAAAAATTTCAGTGGTCCCAATCCTCTAACATAGATATTTCTCAAGAATGATGAGTTGTTTTTAAGGCCCTATAACAGTTGCGGCTCTAACAAGTCCCACAGAAGGTTTTCTACAAGAACAACTCTTCTTAAGAGTTTCAAATGATGTTTGGATGCAAACTGATGAAGGTCCTCCTCATGCTGGATGTTTTCTTCAGGAGCTGAAACAGCTGATCACCAGATTTTATCGGACAGGTTAAAGATGTGAGAAACTCATTTAATCAATACATTTGCAGTGGTCTCTGGTAGGAATAAATGCCTTGCAAGCCGTACTCGGGGCAAAAGAGCCCAGAACGCTCATTGCATCGCTGCTGCTGCAGCAGAGAGTAGCAGCCGACGGCAGGATTTGGAGTCTTACTCCCTGATATTTGGACCTCTCACCTCCACTTGGGTAACAACAACATGCCTCTGCCACTGACTCGGTTTGATCCTTTAACTTTTGTCCAAACCAGATTTACTAATTTAACACAATAGTCCGACACACCTTCAGATCCTCGATGATTTGGGGGGTGTTCCATCTCTGTGGAGAGTGAGTGTGGTTTTTGTAGTACTCCATAACTTCCTGGTAAAAAACAAAACAAAAAAGCATTTCTCTTCAGTAACATAAGGAGGACTTCTGTCTCTTTATATGACATGGTTCTTCTGACAGTTTAAGTCCATGATGTTCAGACAGTTTTGATTTATCTGTATCCAATGAGTGCATGAATGTCAAATTGTTTCACATTTAACCCTCCCACTGTCCTAACCTGTTTAACCCTAACGCCCCTCAATTGGGGGCCTCTACAATTTCATGTCCCAAACATCTACAATTGTCCACATTCTCCAAACACAACTAAAACCACAATCAAACAGCCCAGATGCGAAACAAGGCTATTTTAAATTGTAATAAATTAAGATACAATGATATTTGAACTTTACTTTAGAAGAGCATCTGACCTTCTCTGGTGTCTGCTGAAAAAAAAAAAAACTTGAACAAATTTAGTTGAGGACCCCTGGAAAAAATAAAACAATTGACTAAATTTCCTAAATGGAATTTGAACTCGCAACCTCCATCCTGTCAGCACCTTCACACAGGGCAGCTCTTCTAAAATAAAGTTCAAGTATTATTTTATCTTAATGTATCAAAAACCAAAAATTGCTTTGTTAACAATCTAAACAGTTTTTGATTTTAGCTGTAGCTGTGATCGGGGAATGCCAACGATCACTGACACTTGGGACATGAAACTCTAAAGGCCCCCAGTTGGGAGGTGCCAGGGCCCAAAGAAAAAAGGCCTAGGGCCTAAAGGACTAATGGGTGTGACCCCACGAGGAAAGTTAACCATTGAGCAGGATTGATGGTTTATCCCTTGAGGACCCAAGGGACAAACCATCAATCCTGCTCAATGGTCAACTTTCCTCGTGGGGTCACCCATAAAGACAGTGGGAGGGTTAAATAAATAATATATTGGAACAAACTAGTGTATTTAATTGTTTATCACCAACCTCCTGAGCAGGAAGCACGTACAGTCGGGTGAAATCTTTGACCTGCTGGAGAACAGCCCGGCCTCTGGCTGTTTGAAGGAACAGTCCGTCTCTTGTGGGACTTATTAAAGTTCTGGCATGAAAAAAAACACACCTGGATGTCTTTAAAACTGGCAGAATAAACAGGAAATGACATTTGTACCAGTTATAAGGACACATTAACCTTTTCACCAGCTGCAGAGCTGTTTCAGCCAAAGGCTCAACACTCTTGCCGAACTGATCTGCGTTGGGCGCGCTGGCGTTCCCCAGCAGGAAACGAGCATGAATCCCCTACTTAGAAGATCAAAAGGATAACGAGTAAGGAATTAATATGCATCCACCCAGGAAAATACAATCTATGACTGGAGATCTCAATAACCATCTAAGTGTTTACAACCTGAGCAATAGCAGCCATTTTAAAGATGGACAGAGCCAAGAAGAAGTTCAGCTGTGGCAGAGAATCAGACGGGATTCCTCGACATCTGCAGTAAACAGAGATCAGGTCACCAGCAGCTGGAACACCTGCACAGGGAGGGAAACACACACACACACACACACACACACACACACACAGCTTAAATATTGAAAGCATTTAACCACAGGCAGAAACTATAGAGAGATGTTACCCTCTATTCCCTGTAAGCTGCCAATTGTGCTGGTAATGTTGAGACTTGTGGGCCAATAGAGAGGCATGAGGAAGTAGACCAGGTCTGCCAGCGGGTTCCCAGTGGTGGACAGCTCCCAGTCCAACACTGCTATCACACGGGCCTTTAGAAACAGAACACACCATGAAGTCATTACGAAGATATCTTGTCCTGTTCTGATCGTTAGGCAGATAGATGGGACATCACTAGCTTGGTTATCGTAAATATGCACATATATAATCTGGCCATGACCGTTTGAAAGAAGCCAGTTGTTAGGTGGACTCTATGGCTGACTTTCAAACTGTTTATGCATGCAATTGAGCAGCGCAAGCAGGGTATCCGCAGGTTTAAGGGAGCCAAATTTAAGACTTTTTAAGACCTTTTTAAGGCCACTTTGACCAAATTTAAGCTATTTTTAAAATTAAATTTAAGCTATAATTTCCAGCTATTGCCTGGAACCAGCGCTAACCACATCGTGAACGTGGGATTAGCCATCCAGTTACCATTAATGTTGCACTTCCCCATGGCGCAAACTCCCACTAGCATGCTCATCTAAAAATAGCCCCCTTTCACAACCGACCGAATGTGTACGGTTCCGCTTACGCCAACATCGTACACAAAAAATGCTGAATACTAACTAGAAATTCACGAAAATTTTATAGAAATAAAAGAATCTTGTTTACTGGGTCTTTGGTCATTTAAGACCTTTGGAAACTATTTAAGGATTATTTGTCATTTTTAAGGATTTTTAGGGCCTTAAATTTGGAAAAGCAAATTTAAGACTTTTTAAGGACCCTCAGATACCCTGGCAAGGACCAATCAGATCAATAACCAACATGACGTATTCATCGCTACAGAAACCAGTCAATGGGGCAGTCCGCTGTACACGATCGAAGAAGCAAACACATCCTTTTTGTGTGTCAAAAAAAAAAAAAGCCTAAAGCCTAAGTCTAAATCGTCCAGTATTGATGCCAAAGCTGTTCCAAACGAGTGCCATTACTGAGCCGACACCATCTCGGTTGTTTCTCTCCATCTCAGCTCTGGTCCTAAGCCCACCCAACATCCCTTCTATAGACCACTGTGATTGGCTCAACCCAAACTTGGTCGGGCCAATGGCAGACCTGCTGATGGAGCGTAGCTTGACCTGACCTGCAGTGCAAAGTCTTTTTGCTATTGCTATGGTTTGTCTAGATATCTAGGCTAGTGGATCCTCTAACAACAACAACAGAGGAAAAAGTAAAGAATTTTTCAATTGTTATATTTTGGTAAAGAAAACTGGAAAACTACCTCTGTTGGGTGGAATATCAAGTTGTCCAGTCTGTAGTCTCCATGGACAAGTGTGACCTCATCATCTTTCTCAGGTAAATTGTTCATCAACCAATCAGAGAGCTCGTTCATAGCAGGAATGTCTCTGTGGGCTGAAGCTTTGTACTGCTTTGTCCATGTGGACACCTTTGAAGATAGAATAGCATTTCTTACATTTAGGACAGAAACAATAATATTTTTATCTGTTTTATTTTATAACTGAGGAAAATGTGTCCTCTAACTTGTCTCCTGCAGTAACCCGGTCCTTTTCCAAACCCCTCCAGTTTTAGTGATGCCAAGTTGAGTGAATGCAGCTTCGCCAACACTTCCACTGCAGCTACATGCACAGCTGTTCTCTCTGCTGGACTCAGTCCAGAAAGCTGAAGATCCCTGAATATACGGCCCTGAGCAAAACAAACAAACAAATGGTGGGAAATTAAATACAGCTAAAAACCGTGTGTAAACACGGATTGAAATGACAGATGCAACATATGTATGAAATGACCTGATTTGACCTGTGTAAACAGACGTACCTTAACATGATCCATCAAGTAGAATTCTGTTCCGATTACTTCGTTATCCGAGCAGAACAAGATGGGTTGAGGGACGGGGAACCCAGAGGAGAAAAGGGCCTTCTGCACCCGATACTCTCTGTCAACCTGCACATGGAGGTTCTATTCACACCTGGGTGACTAAAGTGGAACTTAACAACTGAATTCTCTATGAATGCTCTGAGGATTTATCATATTAAAGTCCCATTAGTCATCATCGCATGCTGGTGAAATTACATCTCTGCATTTGACCAATCCTAGTGGGGAGAGGTGAGCTGCAGCATTGGCTGTGCTTGGGAACTATTTGGTGGTTTAACCCCCTAATCCAGCCCCTTAAAGCTGAGCCTCAGGCAGGGAGGCACTGGGTCCCAATTTTAGAGTCTTTAGTTTGACCCAACCAGGATTTGAACCCTGATCTCCCAGTCCCAGAGCAGACACTCTACCACTACTCTACTCCTAAGTATAATCACTTTTGGTAAAAAAATAAAAAATAAAAAAAAGCATCCTGGGTGAATATATTTCAAAACAAATTTCATGCAACAAACTTCCATCATAACAAACTCAGATTTACATATCTGATTATTTTGTAGTAGAAATACAATGATTTTACAAGGGACGTTTGAAATAATTGTCTTTTTTAATTACAGTGAAAGTGAAGTTCTATTTCTCACAGAATCAATTTACTTCCTGCTTATTTGATTGGAGCAGGACAAAAATGTACATATTAAAACAAGTTATACATGTAAAATGAGGCATTTTTATGGATTTTCATTGCATTTCCGCCCCCTGCTGGATAGAAAATGACATAAAAACAAAGCAGTGTATTTGTGAACACTTGAAGGTGCAGTTTCAGATCAGAGGTAGTCTCACCTTATGAGCCCCTGGTAGCAGCACACCTGGGGGTCGCTTCCTGAGAACGTAACTGTTTGAAGGAGACTGGATGAAAAAAGTTGGGTTTGACTGACCAGCGCTGGGGAAAAAAAATCCCGAAACTTTTCAAGTCAGTTCAACTACAGAGAAACTACGATAAATAACGAAACAGTCCAGCTGTAGCGTATTATTTACCTGTACTGTCTGACGGTGAGTGTGTCACTACTCGGCACTCGTAGCGTCACAGACAGGTATCTTAGAAGATTGCTAACACTGAATTTGTGTTGCGCTCGGACGGGAATTGTCACGTCTTCCATGGTGCAGGCCTTGTGGATTAATCATTAGGTAGCTCAAGAAGCTGACAACGCAAACGTTTCTTTATCAGTCAATAAAGAGTCGCACATACAGACCTAAAAGAGCTCAACTCCATTAGCCGTCACAGATGCGTCAACGCGTCCACCATATTGGGAATGGAGCAGCCAGGAAGCCACGTACAGATGAAAAATAAAATACCTTTTATTTTTAATATTAAAGCATGCAATGATTATTTGTCTATTAACACAGTAGGAGCTTTAAGACTTCAAAAGCGCATTCAATTGCCTCTGTGAATGAAATGTGCTATAAAAATAAAGCTGCCTTACATGGTTTTAGGGGTGATTGACAGACCAAGATCAAAGTGCAAACATCAATATGTAAGCCCAAAATAAAACTAAACAATCTGCTAACAAATTATAGAATGGAGCAGTTTGGAATGTCTTTCCCTTACAAATCATCTGCATCATCAAAACGCAAGCTATGCAGTTTCTAGCTGTTCATAGGTCTGCCATTCAACCATTATTTAAAAGGACATCAATAAAATAAACATATCAGATATTACATTTCTAAACTATAATGTCACCTCGTTTCATAAAATAAAATATTACATTTCTGATCAAACATCGAACGAACGAATGCTTAGTTTTGCCTTAAACCGACTACTGATATAGGTAGGAACACTTTCTTTGCTCGCGTTCCACACGGGCACTGTTTAGAGGCGCACACAGCCAGACAGCTGATCGCAGAAAGGAAGACGTGTACTTTTAGGGCTGATTCGCTTTTACCTTTCTCTGTTAGATCATAACAATAATCATCATTTCTATTTTGACGACAGTTATTTTGCTAGTATGGCGACGGTGGAGGAGCTGAAGCTGCGCGTGCGAGAGTTAGAAAATGAATTAATAAAGTGTAAGCAGAAGCAGAATGCCATGGAAGATGCTCACAACCAGGCGCTAAACAGACCCAAAATAGACAAAATGAGCGCCGAAGTTGTGGATTCTAACCCATATAGGTGAGTTTTATTGAATTCATATTAATTGATTCTTTTACGAATGTTTGATTTTTCATTTTAGTGCGTTTAGCGCTGAGGGGCGACGCCTCGTGAGTCACTGCAGGCTGCAGATTTTCTACACTGACAGGCTAATCTCAGCCGTTTTCCTCCTTTTTCCAGCCGTCTGATGGCCCTAAAAAGAATGGGAATCGTCGAGGACTATGAGGTATGAGGATTTTTTTTTCTTTTGTTGTGGTTTTTGTTCTTCAGACAGACATAAACATAAACAAATCAATAAATGTAATCTGCAAAACATGACCACCGTCAGTATCTTTAAATCTGGAACTTTAAGAGTTGTATTTATTTAACGTAGTAAGAAAACCTCAGCATTAAAACCAGCTAAATGTCGCTCTTAGTTTTGAATGTATGCAGTGTCTAGGCAGGCTTTGTGAACGTTTAATTACAGTTCTCCTGGTAAAGTAAACAAAAGGTACAACTGCAAAGCCATAATGGTCAAGACATTAACTATTATAAAGATTAACTCAAGGGATGAGCCAATTATTTCTACATGTAACAATTAGACAAAGATTCAGTTTCAAATGGTACATTTGGGTATTTTAAATGCAGCTTTGAAGTTTTCGGGCTGAAATAAACGGTATCTTTGCACCAGTGAGGGAATTCTCCAAATATTTATACCTTGCAACTTGTCCTCAAAATAACTGGACTACTGGATGATGATGAAACCAAAGGTGTCAGACCTACAGCAGATTAATAACGTCTCTGACCCATTGACAGAAAATCCGGACCTTTTCAGTAGCAGTGGTGGGTGTCGGCGGAGTCGGCAGCGTCACAGCGGAGATGCTAACTCGGTGTGGCATTGGTAAGGTAATACAAGCCTTCCCTTTGTTTTAAAACCGTTACACTGTAATGTTTTACTTTGTGCCAAGTTGATGAAATTCCCTTTGCTTGGTGTTCTAGCTGATGCTCTTTGACTACGATAAAGTGGAGCTGGCCAACATGAACAGGCTATTCTTCCAGCCTCATCAGGCGGGCCTCAGTAAAGTGGAAGCAGCAGAACACACACTCAGGTAAACGTCTCTCAGAGGTAAGGAAACGGTCCTTTCCAGGCTCCGTTTGACCTCACAACTCCTTTTCCTAACAGAAACATCAATCCGGATGTAGCCTTTGAGACCCATAACTACAACATCACAACTCTGGAAAACTTCACACACTTCATGGATCGGATCAGGTTGGTTTTCCAGCTCTGTTCTGTCATCTCTGTCCTGTTATCGACAAAAACGCATCACGATGAATGATGTGTTTTCATAGTCGTGGAGGGCTGGAGGATGGGATGCCGGTGGATCTGGTGCTGAGCTGCGTGGATAACTTTGAGGCCAGAATGGCCATCAATACTGTAAGTATGTTAGCATTTATAATGAGAGAAACAGAGATGGACCTACAGCTGGGAGCTCCATTTGTCTTCTTCAGGCCTGCAATGAACTCGGTCAGATCTGGATGGAGTCTGGTGTGAGTGAGAACGCCGTGTCGGGACACATCCAGCTGATCGTTCCTGGAGAAACCGCCTGCTTTGCTGTACGTGTTAAAAAATCTTTTTAATTCTAACATGATGTTTGCGCTGAGAAGCTTTATAACATCTGATCTTAGTGTGCTCCTCCACTGGTGGTTGCTGCCAATATCGATGAGAAAACCTTGAAACGGGAGGGCGTGTGCGCAGCTAGCTTGCCCACAACAATGGGCGTGGTCGCAGGCCTCCTGGTGCAAAATGTCCTCAAGTACGCTGACGTTGTTTTTGTTTAAATTTGAAACACATTACAGATTCAACATTAATGATTTATACCTCATTTTTTAAAGATATCTGCTGAGGTTCGGCACAGTCAGCTATTATCTAGGCTACAACGCCATGCAGGACTTCTTCCCCGCCATGACCATGAAGGCCAACCCTCAGTGTAACGACCGCCACTGCAGGAGGCAACAGGAGGAGTACAAGGTTTATAGACTCATCGAGAATCTTCCAGACGATTGCATTCCACCTTAATCAACTAGAAACCTGAGTTTTTTATTTATATTTGCAGAAGAAAGAAGCGACACAACCCAAGGTGGAAGTTGTGCAGGAGGAGGAAGAGGTTGTACACGAGGACAACGAATGGGGTGAGCATCTGCACCGTGCAGATGTTTCTTTCTCATCTTGCGTGTGTAACAACACATTTTTCCTGTGCAGGTATTCAGCTGGTATCAGAGGTTAGTGATTCAGAGCTCCAGGCTGCAACAGGAGCCAGGCCTGACCTCCCAGAAGGCATCACTGTGGCTTACACTATTCCAGCTCAGGTTGGGATTTTCTAACTCAAAAGAATACGTTTTATAAATATTCCAAACCTAGTGGTTGATTTTTTTTTAAGTTTTCTAATTGATTCCTGGGTGTGTTTTCTTGTTTCGACCAGGATGCAGCAGCTGGAGACACGGTGGAGGAAACCGAACAGAGCTTAGAAGACTTAATGGCTCAGATGAGGAAGTTGTAGGCAGCCATCAGATGATACATTTCCCTCTTCTTCCACAGCTAATTTTATTTTAAATTTTTTTCCCATCTTTTGCAAAAGCTTATTAACATGTTGAAAGGAGGAAAATGACTTAATCTAGCAGCTAACATTGAGGAGAGCATGAAACTTCATTAGAAATGACTTTTGCTGAAACTTTAAATATCAGTGAATGCGTTTAATGACACGTATGTTTTCTGTGGTTAAGGATCCAATGTTCCACCTGTGTTTGGTCATTTCATCGGCACCGTTACACAACTATGTCTCAATAAAGTATTTATTAGATGGACGGCAGATTCAACATGTTGGACATGATTTGTTATATTGTGTTTCAGATTCTGACAAAACACATTTATAAAATTATACATTTCAACAACAAAACTTCAGACATGCTTAGTTTTGGACTAATGTGTTGTCTGAATAATGAACAGTCAAAACTAAGTATACATAAAATTAAATGAATATTTGATTTTACATGGAAGTAAAGATCTGCTGTGTAAACGTGACAACAAAAGGTGCTTGAGGTCTGCTGATGCTGCTGGGTTTTCTTTGTTCACCTGTTGTGAAATAAATGTTACTGTAAATATGTTTCAGGTTGTTTCCTTAAGCTATAAATATAATAACTAGTAAAAAAAGTGCATAAAGTGATTTTAACTTTACAAATTTAAAGCAATAAAAATGAAAGAATAATTTCTATAAAAATAAAAGGAGAGCAAGGATGGAGGAATTTTCTTCACAATGTCACAAAAGAGCCTGCTGTGAATTTGACATGGCAACTGTTGCTATGGAGTGTAGAGAACACATGTTACTTCCTCTTTAGGAACCAGAGCTTCTGTTTGATGTTCTGAAGGAGAATAGCGTACAAAAGTCTACCCTGAACAGAACATTTTTACATCTCTGGTGCTCATGTGCAGCATTTGTGTCCAAGAGTCCGTGTGATGCTAAGGATGCTCCCTTTGAAGTGCTGCGTTTCACTTGTGCGGCCTTTGGAGCTGTCGGAGCGGCTTGTAGTGGTTAGTGATGGTTCACCTGAGGTTGTGTGGAAGCGGGGCCCTCAGGGTGAATGTGTCTCCGCTGGAGGAGTGTGGCGACGGGGTGTTACCGCACGCCAACGATGGCTCGGCCTCTTTAATCTCCATCGCACGCTTGTAGAGCTCAGCTGCCCTCTCGAAGTCACCCCTCTCATAACTGGATCGGAGGTAAAGATTTAAAAATGACCCAAAACAGAATAAAACACGATCAAACGTTTGATTAGAGAAAGTTTTTTTTTTTTTTTTTACCTGAGCACTGCCAGGTTTTTTAGCGTCTCTCCGACTCGTGGATGCGAGTGGCCCAAACTGTTCTCGTACACTTTCAGAGCGCGCTCATACAGAGGCAAGGCTTCGCTGTGCTTCTTCTGCAGAAGGAAAAGGGCTGGGTGTTAGCTTAGCTCGAGGGGAAGGCCCACATAAAACAAACACACACATCCAAGGAGTGTGTGTGATGATTAAGAGTCTCACCAGTTGGCAGTAGATGACTGCCAGGTTGACCAGCGCTGTGGCCACACTCGGGTGTTTCGGACCAAAGCTTTTTTCCCTGATTCCCAAAGACAACTCATAAAGAGGAACAGCTTTCTCCAGCTTCCCCTGTGCAACACACACACACCCAACAGCCATCAGCAGGTGTGAGTTAAACGTTTTTATATTACTGTGTGCGTCTCACTCTGCGTTTATAGAGCATGGCCAGGTGTTTGACTGTGTAGGCTAGAGAGGGGTGGTCTGGTGACAAGGCTCTCCTGCGGATCTCCAGCGCCCTCTCGTACATTTCCTCTGCGGTCTCATATTCCCTCCGCTCGCTGTGCAGCGCGGCGAGGTTGTTGAGGGACTGGGCGCAGTCTGGGTGATCCTGGCCGAGGACGCGCTGGCGCATTTCCAGAGAGCGGGTCAGCAACACTTTGGCTGCACTGGTGTGGAATTAACAAGGTTAGAACTTTCTGCTGAATGTTTCTGAACAGAGCTGCAGCAGGGTATCTGCAGGTTTAAGGGAGCCAAATTTAAGACTTTTACGACCTTTTTTAAGGCTACTTTGACCCAATTTAAGCTATTTTTAAAATTAAATTTAAGCTATAATTACCATGCTATTACCTGGAACCGGTGCTAACCACGTCGTGAACGTGGGATTAGCCATCTAGTTACCATTAAACTTGCACACACAGGGGCGTGTCCAGGGAGTGGCCTGGGGTGACACATGCCACCCTTAGAATCTGATTGGCCACCCCAGGTGCCACCCTACTAAGTTCCAGTTTAAATTGACTTTACATTATCGACAAAAGGCTTGAGTTGCAAACTCCAAAAATAGTGTGTGGTAGCATGCACCTTTCACATTGTCTTCTAGCCCAGGCCTACAGAACCTTTCTGTAGTATTAATATTATTTATTAATTTTTCATATTCACATAAATAGTATTTAGAGCCCCACTCAACTCCAGTTGGTGGCAATAATGCATCAAGAAGTGACTTGCTAACCACCACAAAACTAGAAGATAAATAGAAAAAAATGGTGATTGTGCAATGTGAAACTCCAAAATTCACTAGGAAGTAAATAAATTAATAAACGATTTGTGTAAATAAATAAATAAGCATAACCACTGGTGCCACCCATGCATAAACAAGTGCCCCACATGGGCCACCCCATTTTAAAAGTCCTGGACACGGCTCTGGCTCCCACTAGCTTAATCAGCTAATGTGCTCATTTAATATAGACCCCTTTCACAACCAACTGAATGTGTATGGTTACGGTTAGGCCAATATTATACACAAAAAAAAAGCTGAACTAACTAGAAATTCACGAAAATGTTATAGAACTAAAATAATCTTGTTTATTGGGTCTTTGGTAATTTAAGACCTTTGGAAACTCTATTTAAGGATTATTTGTAATTTTTAAGGATTTTCAGGGCCTTAAATTTGGAAAAGCAAATTTAAGACTTCTTAAGGACCCTCGGATACCCTGTGCAGGAAAACTGCTGCTGGCCTTACTCCAGGTTGTTCTGGAGGTAGTAGAGGACACCCAGCTCGTTGAGAGTCTTGGCACAGTCTGCAGAGTCTCTTTCCAGGGTCAGCTCCTCCAGCTGGAGAGCTCTGCGCCTCAGCAGGCTGAAGCCATACTGAAAGGAGAATACAGAAGGGTTTGAATGATTTATCTGATTAAATCTGGAGATTTTGTGGATTTGTGAGAAATCTTCCCACCATGTGACCTTTCTGGCGGGCGGTCTTCTGACGGATCTTGACCGACCTCTTCTTGAGTTTCTCAGCTTGATCATACCTGATGATAAAAGTCTTTAGTCTCAGATCTAAAATGTTTACATGAACTACAAAAGCATCCCACATACTTATTTTGCTTTTGATAGAGCACAGCGAGTGAGTCCAGCTCCTGAGCCACACTGGGATGCTCGGCGCCGTAAGCATTCTCACTTATCTCAAGGGCCTGCTTGTACAGCTGTTCGGCGTTCCCATACTTCTTCCACTGGACGTAAACTCCAGCCAGCTGGTGCAGAGAGCGAGCGACGCTGGGATGATCCGGGTCCAAAGCCGTCTCTCTGATCTCAAGAGAGCGTTGTATGGGTGCTACAGCCTACAAAAACACACACATTTAAATATAAACACCACTTTTGACGTTTCATTCACTAATAAGAAGTACCTGACTCGGGAGGCCCAGGTCTTTGAGAAAACGACCCAAAGTCTCATACAGATTTGCGAGCTTGGTCATGTCATCTTCACTCTCACACCTCTTCTCGTAGCTTTTCAGGGAGTCGAAATATTCAGCCGCCATGGAGCTTTTGTCTTTTCCTACGTACTGCCAGTAAGCTAGCAGCTCAGAGAAATGACCTCTGAAAAAAAAAAAAAGATTTGACAAAATACCAAATGTCAGTGTAGCTGTCAGTTGTCGTTTGTTTATTTCAAACACTTTGAAGAATTTCCAGCCGGGGACACTGTTGCCTAATCAGTAGCTGACTGATCCCATGTGAAACCATAAGTTAGGAGCCAGGAGAAGGAACTTTGCCTCAAACAAGCCATCAGAATGGAGGTACATGTTTAAGAAATGTTTGGACATAAATATTGAGTTTATTCTGACTGTGCACTGATGTATGTTGGTTGGTTTATGCGCCCAGCCCGGAGATTCCAGCATTCCATTAGGATAGGATATTTGCACCCCTGGGAAAGTGGAGCGAGGTACATGATTTACTGTTCCTGTGATTAAGATATGCATTATGTTCATGTTTTTTGTTTTTGTTTTGGGTTGCTGTAACCATTGTTGTTCATTTAACTGTTTATACAGTTTTCATGGTCTGATGGTTGACCTCATCACCAGAAGAAGTAATTTCAGATGAACAGAAATAAAACCTCTGCACCAGTCGAGGCTCTTTCATCGCTTTTCCTTCCTTCAATCCTGGGACTGCTATGGTCAGAGTAACATTTAAAGTAACAACAAATATTTTTTCTATTTTAAGCTAAAGCTTTAACGTTGATCTCAGTGCTTGATGGCTCATCAGAGACCACAGTCACCCATCACATGCACTGATCACCCTGCTGCCCTCTGGGAGGTGCTACAGGAGCCTCCGGACTAAGACCACCAGGTACCGGAACAGTTTCTTCCCAACAGCTGTCAGACTCCTGAACTCTGCCTCCTGACATATGACCCACGTTAAACTCATGGACTGCTTGTATTAACTACAGCCTGTACATACTTATAGTCATAGAATATTCATAACATACTTCATACCGTGTACATTATAACATACGTAATAGATCATTTTCTGTAATATACTTACACATCTATATTATTGCTAATATATATTGTAATCCATCTATATCATGGCTAAAGCACTTTCTGGATGGATGCAAACTGCATTTCGTTGCCCTGTACCTGTACATGTGCAATGACAATAAAGTTGAATTCTATTCTATTCTATTCTATTCTGATGGGTTAGAAACTTGCCCAGTTTCATGTTTGACGCCACTCTGCAGCCCTCTGCTGGCCAGATACTGCGCTTAACAGTTTTGTGGAGCAGGTAGGTGTTGTAGGGCGGAGGCGCTCTTATACATACATTTTGGCTGTTAGCTGAAATGGGCCCCATGTTGTCAGACAAGTTATTTTGCATGTTTTTGTTGTTGATTATTGTGATTGTTGGTAGTTCAGAAACAAAGAAAATAATATGGATTTCGCTACTTTTTTAGATTAGTTTGAAACTGAAACTAACGAGTGCAGGCAGGCCGCGGCCGACGTTCACTCTGCTTTTAGCTCATTGCCATTACTCTCTTACTTTAGCATCCAGACTTTGCAATGATCACAACAAAAAAAAAGCTAAATTATTTTGCTCGTGCTTTATACTGACAGTCAACAAACTGCTAGCATTTAAATGAGCTACCAGCACTGTACAGCCATAAAGCAGACAGGGGCCTCCCACACAAGAACCACCAACGCTGTTTAGTGCAGCCTCTGGCCAGCAGAGGGCAGCAGAGTGCTGTCCCAGGTGAAGTCGCTCAAGTTTATGGCTCAAGAACCACTGAAACCAGTTGACAGCAATAGCTTAAAGTGTTAAAAACTCTACGTTTGTGATGTCACTTCCTATGTGCACACAGTTCCGTACCTCTTGTAGAGGTTCTGGGAGACGAACAGGTTCAGGAGACAGAGCTGTAATTTAGTCCTGTCCTCCTGCTGTTGGAGCAGCCAGGGAAGCTCGTCTGCAACACGCCATGTCACATGATCCTGGCTATAAACACACACACGCACACACACACACACACACACACACACACACACACACACACACACACACACACACACACACACAAGATATGATTTAATCTGACTGAACTATGAGTTTTTTGCCACATAAACTGCAGGGAAAAATGAGGACCTGAGCTGCTGGTTGAAGTAATGAATTAGTTTCTCTCTGTGAGGAGCAGAGCTGATTCTTCCTCCCAGAAACTCCAGCCTCACGGCTTCACAAGCCTGACACAGACAAATCTTTAAATAATAAACACTTTCATTGGTTTTCCTTTTCAAGAAGAATATTTACCTGCTGGTGCTGAAAGGTGAGGAGTCCACAGCGACGGGTTGTAATGCAGAGTCTGTTCAGGTGGTGGAGCAGAAAGGACAGAACAGGCACCTCCAGCTCCGGGAAAAGATCTAAGATCTCTGATTCACTCATCCCGTTATGGCTGGAAAGCACAAGGCACAGCATCTAGAGAGGAAAAATGCACTTAAATCTGCAACAGCAGGTCCGAGGTTTAGGTGGATTCATTTGTTTTAGGTGTGTTTGCAGCTGAGGCCAAATCAAGCAGATGCAGAACTTTGGTCACCTCTTTCATCGTGTGTCTCGCGGCGTCTGTGCTGAGAGACTTCAGCGTCATGTTGAGTGCCAAGCAATACAACGACATGGTGTCGTGACACAGCAGACACTGATCCAGGCTCTTCTCCAGAGACCAGCCAGTCATTCCACTAATAATAAAATAATCATTTAAAAAAGTGATTTCTTATTAAAAGAGCTAACAGGTAATCCCACCCCTCTAAAAAGATATTGGAATGTTTTAGAATATTTCTAGCCGCGAGATTCATCATTAAATTCCTAAAGAACATTTACCTGCAGATATTCGTTATTGTGTTTGAACTTACTGGGAAAAAAGTCCAAATCTTTAAAAAACCCGCTCTTAACTGTTTTCTATACATGATAATGAAGTACAGAGTTGGTTTTGGAGCCAGTACTGGGATGAACCCATCAAAAATGAGAATTGTTGATATTTTTCATGTTTTTAATGCTTTTATCTACTTTGTAAGCTGAAAAAGTGTTGGTGGCTAACCTGGTGATCACCCTTGCCAGCAGGGTGACATATAAAGTGTTGCAGGTCGATGCAGAGCGACAGTGTCTCTCCAGTTTTTTCTCCTAAAACAAAAATTATACACTTTCTAAACTCTCACAGGAGGAACAAACCTCTGTTTTCATTCCACAAATGTAATTTCACTCATATTTTTCAGTAAATTAAAGAAAGGTGGGTTGATAACTGACCTGGTCTTTGTTAAGTTTGAGATCCGTCCCCTGAACCTCTGCAGAGATGACACTCCTGACCTCTCTAGGACTCAGTGGATCTAGGTGGAGTGTGGGCCACAACCTGAAAATAACAAATTCTAATTTAAAAACTTTTATCTCTGCATAGAATATAACAGTCTATGCAGGATCTATCACCTCCAAGCTTCAGGACACGTCTCCACATTGACGGAAACCACCACTCTGACATTCACAGGGAGGGGGTCAATCAGCCACTTCATGTGTCTTTCTCCTTGCTGAAACAAAAGCAAACCGAATCAAATCTAAACTAAACAACCCTACAAGGCATACAGGAAAAATCAGTGGAAGGACTTACGTGTATTTGGTCGACTGAGTCGATGATGATGATGATGTTTCCTTGGTGCCGTGCTGAAAGCCTTTCAAGCCATCGAGGGAACTCCTCCAGGATCTTACTGGGATCCATGGACAAGCCAGAAATGGGCCAGAAGTGCTGCAGCAGCTAAGCAACCACACGAACACACAGTAAACACACCTTTACACTTAAATGAAAGGATGCGGTTGCAGGAATTCTTACTTTGACTGTGAGGCGTTTGATGATGAGAACTGGCTCTGAGCTAGTGGAGAGTGGGCGACCCACAAAGTGATAAAGAAACAGCGTGTTGGGAGACTGTTTCTGTTGCAGCTCGATCCTAAAGAGAAACAGGAACCAGTTAAAGCAAACAAACAAAAACAAATCCCTGTCAAACATCACCAGACCTCAGATGTCACACTCGCCTCCACGTCAGTCATAAACACCGGATAACACCGGAACGATCCAAAGAGCAAACCCTCCGTCCCCCTAAATAAAACTGTTACAGGACCTTATTGAAGAGAATATTTTTCACTTTTGATAAATACCTACAGAAGCAGACTCACTGAAAAAAGTAAACATTTTCTCAGATTTCTGAGAATAAGACAAGAAAAAAAAAATCTGAAATTCGAGAGTAAAGTTGGGATTCTGGCTGTTTTCTAAGATTAAAGTCAGAAATAAACATTTTTCATCTATTATAAAAGATTAATTGTTATTTTTTAAAATCATCATTTAGTTTCAATTATTGAAAAAGAGTATGAATGTTTTTTTAGGATGTTTATATTTGTGGGAAATGAAATGGAAAGGCACATTTTCGTGTCACTCTGCTCAGTACAGGTTTTTTATTACTTTGCGCTGAAGTTATAGGAACCATGGTGGAAGGTCCAAGGAGCCACTTGTGGCTCCAGAGCTCCAGGTTGCAGATTCCTGTGGTGTAATGACACTAAAGCCGCTTGCATGTCTGTGTCAGTACGGTCGGCGGAGGATCGCGTCAGTCCGGTCTCGTCAGGGCGGTTTCTGTTCACATATCCTTCCAAAGAAGTTCTCGGGAATGTGGAAATCCCTGAGCACGTGGGCAGCATTTAAGATGCGTGTGAAAGTCCGTGGTGTCCTCCTCAATAAGATAAACAAAGGTAGGCGTGAGCTGAGTTGCTTTTGGAGACTCTGAACCACATTAATGTATTAATTTGCTCCCTGTTCTCTCACTGCCATGCGTGTCCTCATAGCACTCTGTACTCCGCCTCTGCAGGCCACGCCCTCTCCTCCCACTAAGCAGCTGTGGCAAGAGCTCTGTGCAGAAATGTCTGCTGCTCTGGATGACACACACACGGCTCTCTTTTCCCTTCCCCACTGGGAGAGAGCTCCATGCTGCAGACAGAGATGTTTACTCAACAGCATTCAGGATGAAAATGAATCGCGCATGTGGGTACCGCCCAGCTGGTTGATACTACTCGTCAGTCGGAGGTTGTAGGCGTAAATTTCAGCCGGCCAATCAGTCCGTAGTGTCACCTCGGTCCCAGTCGGACTTCCGAGGAAGAGGTCTGAAAAAAAGGTCACCTTAGAAGGAAAAAGCTTATCTGACCCCGAACCTGACCGTACCGACCCAGCTGTGAAAGCCCCAGAACAAGCGGAACAACTCTCCACAAACCAGTTCTTACCATTTGGAAAGCAGCAGAGACTTTCCTGATCCGGGACCACCAGATACCAGCAGAGGAGGAGTGGGAAGGGGGGCGGCTATCATGTCATTCAGATGATCTATATACTGGGAATATGGAAGATGCTTTTAGAAATGCTAAATAAATAGGTTAGAGTGAACAGACAGCATCTTTCCTACCTTCTGGAAGCCTAACTGGGAGATCCTGCTGCTACAAGCCTGCTGGTAGGACTCAATCTGCTCCTGCTCATCATGCAGGTCCCACAGCACGTCTCCAGAGTCTTCCTCACGCCCCTCATCAATGGCAGAGTCCTTAGAGTCCACGGCTCCCTCCTCAAAACCCAGCAAATCCTAGGCAGTGCGGATAAAAATATCCTATAAAACTGACTTTTTTTTAAATGTTCTTTTAGGTTTGGAGGCTTTGTTGTACCTGCTTGATGACTTTCTTAAGCTGAGCACAAATCAAGCTAGCCCCCTCTTCTGCAGAGCCACTGTGATCCACCACCTGGGCATGGATGTTGAAAAAGGTCAGTGAAAAATTAACTTTTTAGCATTTAGCAACCAGGAAAACACAAATGTGCATGCTTTATTACAATAAACACATACCAAGCACATTTTGTTCAGAGTTAGTGGTTATGACGGATCTGTGTCATGTTAGATTGCAAGAAACTCTGTGAGGACAAAGAGGGTTAAAGTAGAGAGATGCATCCACGCAAAGTTAAATTATGTTAGATGTTAACAGATTTTAAAGGAAACTTTGTATAAAAAATAGCAAACGTAGCATAAACTGAGACATGTCTGCTGGTCATAGTGAGATAAATGCATGTTTGTAGGCACACCTTGACTTTGGCAGCCTTGTCAGCAGCGTTGACCCTCTCCAACAGCTGCCTGATGGGACCCGTCAGATCATTACTCTCTTCAGTCCGCAGGTACAGCACCAGAGGATGGCCGTCGGGATTCTTCACAAAAGCCTCCTCGCAGTCCTCCAACACAGAGCTGCAAAAAAGTGAGATTGGGTTGAAAACCTGTATAAAAAGCATGTTATTTCTTTTAAATAACCATTACAGAACTCATCTGTACCTAGAGACAGTGGATCTAAGCAGAAGCACACACACAGAGCTCCTTTCGATCTCCTGTTTGCGCTCTGTAGCGTATAAAGCAGCGGTCTCCTCTGGGAAGTAAACATTCATGTAGAAATGGCCCAGACCTTCGCACATTTGTCGTAACGCAGAAGAATGTTTCTGTAAAATTAAAAAACGGTGCAAATCACCAGATTATAATGAATTGCTGGCAGTTATCCTGTGTTTTTCAGCCTCCTGAATTTACCAATCATGAGAAACAAGTGATGTGAGTGAAGCTGAATAAAACACAATTAGCATGAGAATATTGGTGGTGACTCATAGTGGTCATCTCATAAACCTTAAGAAAGATCTCTAGCTCCGCTTTGGTGTCCCTCGTGGTGATGAGGTAGCAGCGCACAGTGTTGCTCCAAAGGGCCTGGGGCACATGAGGGGACACCTGAAGCAGACTGGTCACTGCAGCATCCCAGTCATCTGCGAAATATGAAACATGCATGGTAATAATGCTTCAGAAACACCTTAGTATAAGTCAATAATTTCAAAGTATTTTTGAGGGTGAAGTTATCTGATTATGTGTGAAACAGGAAATCTAAGTATAGAGAGGAGGAAATACAATAATGGGACTTGAAATCTATCTCTACTTACCTCTGCTCACATTTGCAAAGGGACCTTCCACATCGATTAAACTGTGTGCAAACTCTGGTCCTCTGAAGGTCTGCTGCAGCTGCATCATGCTGCCTAAGGAGGGCTCACTTCCCAGCACCCCACCAGACCAGTATTCACACTGAGTTCCTCCAGCTGTTAGAAAACCAGAGAACTACCAAGCTAAAGAGTTTCAAAACAGAGGACACAGCTTAAAGATCTGGATGTGAAGCTAAGTCTGACCTGTCACCGTGGTTTGGTTATCATCTGAGTCGGAGTCACTTAGATCATAGACCTGGATGCCCTGAGTCTGCAGCTGCTGCAGCTTGGCCTCCAAGTCTCTCTTAGCCCGGAGGAGGTCTTGTATCTCTTTCTCTTTCGTCTCCCTGAAAATCTGAATAAATTATGTGAGACATGTCAAAACGGTATTGTTCTATTTGTTTGGCACAAGTGAAACTTCATGCAAAAACCACAATAAAAATTATTTAGCACTATTTACCTTAAACTGTCGTTTTACTTTGTCTCTGTCATGCTCAAAGGTGGCAGCCCTCTCCATGGCTTGGTACTTTGCCTCAAGAGCAGCTTCCTTCTCTCTGAGGATCTTCTGGTAGGTCTTCTGTAGAGCCTGTTAGACACAACCACTGTTAAATCAGTTAATTGTGTTTTGATCCAATCAGATCCACATTTACCTGTAACTCGGCTCTCAGTCTCTTGTTCTCATCGTCCAGCTTGGCTTCCTTCTTTCGCATGGACGTGATCTCGTTATTCTTGCTGACACGGAAGATTTCATACTCTTTGCGAAGCCTCTCGTACTCCGCAGCGTATTCGAGATCAACAGATCCTGTGGATTTGAAACTAGCCCCGATTACCCGAGGTCCTCGGCGGAAGGAGCTGCGCAGAAGTCGGGCTTTGGGTTTCACCTCAACGGGTATTTCACATGCTTCCCCTCCTTCACCGCCATACCCGTCATCGATCACATCTCCACCTGGGATGACCAAGGAAGATGCGGTGCCCATGATGGAGATCCAAGGTTTATATGCTTAGCCTTTCAGAACTGCCGTGGTGCCATAAATGCATGCTAATAGCCACGAAGCTAACTCTTCGACAAGAACCAAAAAATAAAGCTAACAACCATCTTTGCTAGTTTGATAACTAATAGAAAACGGGACGTGGATGCATTTACAGCGGAAATAATAATTAAACGTACGAGACGGTAACTCTGTAATTCATGTAGTTACGTTGTTCGACTAAAACTTCAAGCCCAGAAAAAACTTAATGAAGTGCGACAAGCCGACATAACGGTTCTTTCAAAGCTTCATACTGGCTGCCTTGGTAACAAGTTCGAGGTACGGAAGCCCCAAAAAGTCATAACAGACCAAAGTCAAACGTTAATTATACACGTTTTATTTCACAAGTGTAATTAATAAAAAATACATTTTACTTAAAATTACGAGAAATGAAAGCATTCAATGTCTCACATTTGAGATCTAATTTAAAAAACTATAAATCAATAAATTCTAAGTTTTACATTTGAAGTGGACATATTTATGTGGTTATAACTCAAAGGTGCACATTTCGCATCAAGTGCTTAGTCAATTAACTCCCCCCACCAACAGTAACAACATCACTAAAGTTCCTACCACTCATCATTTGTATACTACAATTTATCCACCTAATCCTTCTGCTTCACCAAGGAAAGCCTGTTTAGGTAAATACTGGTGAATATGGGAACTTGGTCAGAGATTATTTTCAGTCATGTGAAAAAAATTCTACACAGTCCTACAAGTTTAAAATTTTATACAAATAAATCAATAATGGCTGCATTTGTTCTAGGACTAATTTTAATAGTAAGAAAATGTGAATAGAAGGAAGTGTTTTATAATTAAATATTTTCTTGCATGAGATCTTATCAAAAAGGGTGTTTTAGAAATTTCTGAATCTTCACCTTTAATATTTTTAATCCCTTGTGGTTTTCCATTTGCATCATGTGGTAAATGCCCCAGTTACTGCTGCCTTATCTGTCAAGTGTAACCTCTTCTCAGTTTTTCTAAGTGCCTGTGCATCAACCGCAGCAGTATTTCCTCTTGCACCAATGAAAGCCCTAAAAATTTGGCAAACTTTGTTTGAATTTACTCTATGGATGTCTGCAGCAAACACATCATACAGTTCTACTTTATTTGTGTCATTTTATATACAACATAGATTCAAGTTGCTTTACAAGCTATTAAACACAATCAAAGCATACCACCCACCCACCACACAACATAAAACAAATCAAATAAATAAAAATAAAACTATTTTAAAATGTGGTACAGTAAAATATGCTAACATCAAAAAGATCCAATGAGAAACAACAAAAAATACACATTTAGTAACAGAAAAAGTAAAAAATTGACATCTTAATGCAGTGTAAAACATCAAATAGATGGGTTGTTAAATCTGAAATTGGGAGAGGTTGTCTGATCTCATTATCTAATTTAACAAAAGTCTGCTTGAACATAGTTCTATTAGGGTCCTTAACAACTATTGGATATTACTTCCCATGTTGTGGTATTCTAAGAATATAGATCAATCATCCATGATGGGGAAGTATAATGGTTCTGTTAGTCAAAAAAGAGTTGCAGAGTCTCCTTATTGATAGAAAAACTGGCATTTAAAGTTTAAAGAGAAGTTTCATGCAGGCGGGCTGCTTCTAGTTCCCCAGGAAGAAGATAATCTATAATTAAAATCAAGCCTTTTTCAGCTGTCTTTTAAATGTCCTCATTAGCTGCCAAAGCCCAATTTGATGCTTAGCCTTTCTACTTAAATTTTTTTAAAGGAAATTGGACCTGAGAGAGATTAAATTGTTGTTGGCTTTCTAAAATACCTACCTTGCTTCGATTGCTCAATGAAAACACCAAGTCTTATAAACTATTTGTTGTACTTTTGCAGAAAAGCTGCAGGAATGTCTTCTTGTAAGCTTGGTTTAAGACAAAGTACATCACAGGATCCAAAATGCAGCTAATGCATGTGAGTGCAGATGTGATCTGATTGGCTCTTTCCAGTGACTCGTGGTTAGCTGTTGCACCGTGTCCGTGGATGTCACTTAAAATATATACAACCCTGCACACATGATAGGGCACAAATGCAAACAGGAAGTTCATCACAATTAAAACAATCATTTTTACAGCTTTGGCCTTAATCGGACGCTGTTCCTGCCGCTTGAGTTTCCTTAGTTTCAACAGAATCAGCACGTAAGAAATAAGTATGGTGATGAAAGGAATCAAGAAGGCAATGATAGTGGAAACCAAAGCTTGGGGAGACGTCTTCTCGAGGTACAGCATGCTGCAGGTGTTGGTTGAGTTGCTGTGGTTCTTTATGGAGAAGAGAGACGGACTCATTGAGACAATGACCATCACCCAAAGTATGGCAACACCTACTTTTGCATACAGAGGCTTTCTAACTGACTGTGACCTTAAAGGCAACACCACAGCCAGGAATCTGTCCAAGCTGATGAAACTCATCAGGTAGAGGCTGCAGTACATGTTTAAGTAGAAGAGAAAGCCCGACAGTCGACAGAGGATGCTACCAAAGTTCCAGTGGCTGTAAGACAGGTGGTAAACTACACGCACGGGTAGAATCAAGACATAACAAATGTCCGCAATCGATAAATTCATCAGGAAGATTTTAGAAGATGTGTGTTTCTGGTGAAAGAAAGTCCACAGTGCCAAAGAATTTCCAGCCAAAGCGACAATGAAAATCAGGATGTAATACACGGAGAGGATTATATCCCACAATGCCATCGGTGTGCCGTTGAAGCCTTCTGTCTCCCCAGTAGAAGTGTTCATACTTGAATCATTCTGACAAGGCAGAAATAATGACCAGTTATTATATTCCACAGCCATGGTGCATTCTGCAAACTCATCCTGTTGTTTTATCAGAACAAAACCAAGAATAAGGAGCCCCGTGCAGAATTGTTATGTCACACACGTCACATGAAACTTAGGAGGAAGAACTCGTTTCCACTGAATCAACTTTGAGACTGTAAATGGCTATTATTCTGCAAAAAATTAGCCAACAGGAAACAGCTGCTACAGATATAATTAGATGGATTTTTATTTAACCCTCACACTGTCTTCATGGGTGACCCTGCCAGGAAAGTTGACCATTGAGCAGGGTTGATGGTTTTTTAATGGATTTTCTTAAGCACGTTTTAAACACAATTTATTTAAAACTTTGATGTGGCATTTCAAATACACATTTACTATTTTGCGCATTTAAAAGCACAATTGCATTTACACAGTTTAAAAAAATCTAATAATATCATTAAAAGGTGTTCTGTAAGGGCACATTTATTAAAGAAAGCCTCGTATCTTGTGGATAGTGTCATAAATTAAATTCTTACCATTTACTGTTGTGAAGCAGAGCTGCAGTTAAGTCACCAGCCATGAGAAACATAAATTTTAGAATGACAGGTGAAGGAAGTGAGAAGTCTAACCTTGTGCATGATGCAAACAGCCCCCCCCCAATCATGCATCAACACCCTCACACACAATTGCATGTTTGAAGCAGGAAACCAGAAAATAAAAACAAAAATTCCACCAGTTCAGTGCACTACACGCATGCAAGTCTTTATTTTTGCTAACACCATTTTTTTTCTTTAACACATTGCTCATTTATATCAGGATTTAAAGCTTTACAAAAAAAAATTTAAAAAACGAAAACAACATATTTACAAAAATCTATCTGTGCAAACATAATGTATTCTTTTACATCACTCTCCTAAAGTATTCCAAAGGCATGCATACAAATAAACCTTGGTATGTTAACAAAACTACTCATTTTCTTAGTAGAAGCATTTACTTTATGTACATGTGAGCCAGGTTTGATTTCAGTACGGGTTACATTAACAGCAACAATACATGTTAACAAATCCAGACCAGCAGAACAGTCAACACTTCAGCCGTCACACTGAGAGAGTGCATGTAAAGTCCTCACATGATTGAGTTAGGCAAGAAGTGAGTCCATATGCAACAACTTTGGCAAATAGGCACAATAAAATTATAACTTTTATTACTGGTGAGAAGTTTCAACTCTGTAAAATAAAGTGGCAGTTCTTAGAGATGAACAAATAAAGAAATACTTGGAGAAATCTACAATTATGAGTTTATTTTTAAATGTGCATGCACATTTTTGTATAAATTCATTAAAAGCATTAACAAGGGCTGTCTGAATGTCTGTTGACTGAAAAAATATAAAATATACTACATTTATCCAATATCTTCTTTCAAAATAAAATTAAGTTTACATGATATTTATTTGATTGTGAATCATCTTTCTATTGCCTATGCGTGACTACGTCAAGAAAATATATCTTCAGGACACTTGAACTACAAAGTCCAAAATAAAAACTAACAAGTTTCTTAGTTGTATTATAAAATGTTTTGTCAGAACATCTGGTATTGATAAAATCAATGATTTAAAAAGAGAACTGATGACGCAAGCAGGGTATCTGCAGGTCTAAGGGAGCCAAATTTAAGACTTTTTAAGACCTTTTTTTAAGGCCACTTTGACCAAATTTAAGCTATTTTTTTAAATTTAATTTAAGCTATAATTTCCAGCTATTGCCTGGAACCGGTGCTAACCATGTCGCCAACGTGGGATTAGCCATCCAGTTACCATTAAACTTTCACCTCCCCATGACGCAAGCTCCCACTAGCTTAACCAGCTAATGCGCTAATCTAAAAATAACCCCTTTCGACAACCAACTGAATGAGTACGGTTGTGCTTATACACAAAAAATGCTGAATACTAACTAAAAATTCACGAAAATTTTATAGAAATAAAAGAATCTTGTTTACTGGGTCTTTGGTAATTTAAGACCTTTGGGAACTATTTAAGGATTATTTGTCATTTTTAAGGATTTTTAAGGCCTTAAATTTGGAAAAGCAAATTTAAAACTTTTCAAGACTTTTTAAGGACCCGCGGATACCCTGGCAAGAGAATAAGCAGTGTGCGAAAGCCAGTGTCGGAGATAAGAATTACAGGAGTGCATCATTAATACGTAGAAAAATAGAAAATAATTAACCAGAACCAATTTTTTTCTTACACGAAGATCAATCAGGTCTACCCGAGGGGCGATTATGGGGCTAAGTTGTGTCCTTAGCTGCTGTGGCTGATGGGATGCAGGACTTTCCGCTGCTGCCGTTGTGGGACTTGTAGCTGGTGAAGCTGGGGGTGTGTATGGTGCGGATGCTCTTCCCACCTGGGCCCAATGGTGTGGGTGACAGAGGGGAGGGGGAGAAGGTGGAGGAGAATGAAGAGGAGGAGGAGGAGGAGGAGTGCACTCGACCATTCTGAGTCTGTGAGGAGAACGAGACAGCTTTACCTGTGTGCTGTGAAGGTGCGGGAAGTTTGAGGGATCCGTTAGACAGTGAGGGGATATGGGAGGAGGTGAGGGAACCGGAACGAGTAGCATGAGAGGACAGGATGGAGGATCTCATTGCAGAGGTAGAGGAGGTGGAGGAGGAACACGGGTTAATGGGATTAGTAGCATCTGAGTTTTGCGTAGACTGGGAGCTGCTTTTAGTAGAGCTAGGATAAAAAGCAGGGATTTTAGAAACGGGTATAGTGGGGGAAGTAGTTTTATGATCCCCTCCCACTCTTTTAGCACTTCCGTTAGCCTGCAAACAGATGCCAAAACAGATACTCGCTGTCAAAAAAGAAAATTATAAAAATAATATACAAGTAAAAAGGCAAGACGATGTTAAGTAAAACTAAGTTATTCACATAGACAAACATATATATCTAAGGCACAACAAAAAGACACCAAAAACATATGAAGCAGTTTTTTTTTACAAGGAAAGTAAGACATTTTGAACCAAGAGACATGTTACCAAGAAAGAAAACAATGCAAATGTTAGACGATGCAATGGTAGAAAGGATTTCCAATGCGTCAGCAGGATTGTTAGGTATCATGTGCGGCTGTCGGAGGGAAACCGAGAAGGCAAAGATGCATACTGTACAAGAACTTTAGTGAATTAGGAAACAAGTTTAGGGGTTTGAGGAGTGACAGCAGACAAGGAAAACGTGGGTTATGCCAACGTCCTGAGGGTAAGGAAATATATACCACCATGGGGTTAAGAAAGCTAAGGAGCGATGTTGGGTTTGAGCATAGTTGCATTGAGAAAGGAGGAGCCAAAATGTCGGTTAAATCTGTGCTTGAACATTGCCAGAGGCGTCTTAGGTTTGGCGACACTGTTTAGGAACTCAGCTGTGATGGGAACCGGAGATGTGATGGACAACTCAGAAGATGACAGGACAAGATTCCACTTTTCTTTGCCTTACTCCATTTTTTATGTACTCGTTAAGCCACCAACACAGTGAAAACCATGAGCAGTGTGAACATGCAGAAGCATACAGTACAGTGATGTTATGGGGTAACAGTCAAGAGTCAAACATGCCTTTGTGTCAATGCAGACTTGAGAGAAACAAGAACAGATCCATAGTCACCACCATGGTGGCTTTATTTATTGATTACTTTGAAACACTTGAAATCTCACAGCTTTGGTAGTTTTTCCCCCTTTTTATGCTTCATGCTTTCCATTTCCTATCATTTTATTTTGTCTAGTCTCTGGTAAAACCCTACATTAAAACTACCTGTCGAAACTGCCTCTGACCGTCTTGCAGTTTTTGCTGTTTTCCTGCTTTGTCACTTGTAGCCGGCGACTGCCTGGACTTTGCAGACATAGGGACGGGCATCCGACTAGTAGGGGAAGCGACACTGGTGTTCTGCAAGGGGATCCAAATGAAAAACACAACAAGAAATAAAACAAAAGATAGAGAAAACACACACCACATAGGAAGTATGAAAAGTCAGGGTATGTAAAACAGTCTTTTAGTTTAACACCTCAACAAACACCAGTGAAAGACCATGCATCCAGTAGGACCATCAACTTTTAAGTCAGTTTAAAGTTCATGCAGTCAAGAATGAGGAAGTCACAGGAGCATCATGACAATGCCTTTAAAGATCATTGCACCACTTGCTGAGTTTTAGCAACAAACCTCAGGAGAAAAACGATAAACCAGGGACCTAACAAAAAGCCACCCAATCATGTTGACATGATTTCCCAGAGGCAAAGAGCCACTGGGGTCATATCCAACATTTCTGAGCACCTGTGGAGTGGATTAATCACTTTGGAATTTCAGTGGTTAGGGTTGGAGTGAAGGTAGTTTGAAAGTGAAAAAGAAGGACCCAAAGTCTCCTGGAGCAACAAGAGCTAGAGAGAGACCTGCTGTAGGGTGCTGGGAACACTGAGGACAGTGCTGTTGGTGGTGGTGGTTGTGGTGGTATTGTTGGTAGAAGGGTTGACTACAGGACGAGGAAGTAGTTGAGGTTTAGTCTTCTTCTGCAATGAATTTTTGTTGGCTACCTTATGCCCATGTGCTCTTGAGGTAGGGAGAGAAGTGGACCTCCTCAGCCCAGCCCCTTCTGAGTTTTTCCCATTCCTTGTCTTAGTGTCTTCAGTGCTGCCTGGCTCCTCGATGGAGCGTGGTCCTATCTCACTAATAGTTGTTTCTAACTGCTTAATTGTCTGCTCAAGGCTATCCAGGGTCTTGTAGGCATTCTTCCGAATCTCATCTGTCCTACAAAGGTTATCAGAGTTCTGATCCTTTTGAGTGGTAGGTCCTGATTCCTTTGGAGCGTCCGCTAATGATTTTGAGCGTGTAATCTCAAATCTCTTTGCCTCTTTGTGTTCTCTGACTGTACCATCAGATTCCTCCTCGTCTTCATACACCACCACTTGTAGCGTCTTCTTTCCAGACTTGGTGCCAGTGCGAATCGCCTGCGTCAATGCTGCCAGCTGCTTCTTTGGGAACTTGAACTTGAACTTCTTCTTACCATCTTGTTTGGCATCTCCATTTGACACTGCATTCGCTCCACCATCTGCTAGTTCTGATATTGAGGATGAAGATGAGGATGATGACCTGGTGTGATCTGCAGAACTCTGTGAACCAAAAGCCAACTCAGGACCTCCAGCTTTTCCAGAATTACGCTCTGTGTCGGACTCCTCACTTTCCTCTTTAATAGTCTCTTCGGCAAGCATTCTCTCCATTTCCTCCTCGCATTCAAAAATGGTGGAGAGGCGTTTGTATGCTGAGCGAATATCCATTGGTTCATTAAAGATGATGATGACTGGCTTCTTGTTAATGCCATTGTCCTGTGGCACAGCAGGATCAACTGTGGTGTTTGCTCTGTTTCCTGCACTGCCTACAGTAACTGTCTCGACACTCCCTTTCTTGGCAGTGACCAGTTCTTGGTACTCGCCACAAGACAGGGCCTGTACCTTGCTGTTGGTGATCATAAATGCAATGTTGTCTGGAGGTGGAGGTGCTTCTTCTTCAGGTAAATCTGGACTAAGACCTGCTCCGTCATTACCATCTTCAAAATGTGTTCTAAATATATCACTTTTGTTGTTTGAAGTTTTTTTGGGTGGAGGAACAAACTGTTTGGGTGCCTCTTTCAGAGGATTGGCTGTTTTAGCCGCCACTTGCAAAGGTGTCTTGTTTTTATTAAAGGAAACATTCACTGAACGAATTTTGCTTTTCTTTTCAGTGTTCGTCTTGTTAAGGATTTTCTCCTCCATTTCTGCTGTGGTCTTTAAGGATTCAGCACGTTTGACTTGCTTCCTTGGCAACTTGAACCCATTGAGTCCAACGGGTTTAGGTGATATGGGTGGAGGCGTAACGGGTGATTTGGGTGGTGGAGACAGAGGCGGCAGCTGCTGTTGCTGGCTTGGAGAATTGTCATTAACAGTGACATGTGACACCTGTGTTGGAGGCTGAGAGGGCTCTCTGTTTTCTGGGGCGCCTTCCAGTGCCAACGAGGGTGGCTGATCTTTGGGAATCTGGCCAGTCACGTAATATATGACCTGCAAATTTTAATTGTAAAAATTGGTAACTGATTTCAAACTTTTAAATTTTAAATTAACATGAGTAAAGTATAAGGAATACATACCCCTTGGCTCTGACGCATTGTTGTGTTTCCATTTTCATCTGTCTCTGGGTCTTTGTCCTCTCGGCTGGGTTCTGAGCTCTGCTAGGACAATGTGTGAGGGAATAATATTACTGTGCAACTGGTTTGCCAAGTTGCAACAGATTAACTCTGAATTGACATGGATGATTGCAGAAGCAATCATTTAAAGTGTCAAACTGAACTGGACAAATCTCTTCAACAAAGTAACATCAAGATTTTTCATATGTATACTGCTGAAATTTATTTTTAGTTAATAATGTTAATTTTATTTTCTGATGTTTATTGTAAAAAAATATGCACGTATAACATTTACCTTAAAAATGTAAGATTATCACTACAATTTTTACTGCTTCAGTAATTTATGAAAAAACAGTCTGTTTGACTTTTGTTGGAAGAAGTTTGACTTAATGGGATATTCTGACCCTAAGTGAAATTTAGTCTTTTACCCCAAAGGTAGATCAGTGGGAAAACGCATTTTGTAACTGACCCAGTTATTCTCCTAATTTGTCAGTAGTCAGTTAGTTTTAGCTTAGCATAAACAATGTAAGTGAATGGTAACAGCTAGCATTTTGCATGAAAAGTCATGAAAATGTATCTAAATAATTAAAAAATAATTTGGGGACCTCAATCATAAAGGCTACAAGTGAAAATTAAAGCTGCAAGCAGCGTCGTTCAGCCCTCGAAGCTCTGTGCCGCTTTGGCCTGGTGCGGCATCCCGGGGCACCTGAGCACGTCCACGGCACAGAAACTTCGACCCCCGTGACCCTGGACACTGCGAATGGTCACCTCACCCTAACTCAGCATCTCCTCTGAGTATGCCATTAAATTACACATCTCACCACTAGGGGATGCTCTATATTCACCACACTAATGGGTTATTCAGTAAATCACGAGTAAGCCCAGCTAATTTGGTGCACATCTGATTATGCATCAAGCAGATACAGCTGGTTGGGAAATCATAGGGGGCGGTGTTTTAAAATATAATTCAATCCAACAGAGCTGTTTGTAAGTTGACAACAATAGTTTTGTGTCAGTTTGGCATCAATCAGATATTGTGTGTGCTAACTAGAGACAGACAGCTTCAAGGGGCGGAGCCAATGGGATTTGAACCAATGACCACGTTAATGTGTTTGGTGCAGTCAAATGATGACATAGAGTGTTTGATGCAATTTTGACCTTTATCTTAGAAGTTATTAAAGCATAAAGTTATGTAGGGGGCGTTCTAACGGATTATATTAATATCCCATTGAGGTCGTCATAGGTTTACTAAGATAGTTTTGTGTTAGTTTGGCGTCAATCAGATGTTGCGTATTCGATCTCGAGCCAAGGAGCTGAAAGGGGGCGTAAAGGCTGCAGGTGAAAATAATAAGTAACTCGAAGGAATTACAGGAGTCGATTTAAATTTGGGATTACTACAAAACAATGCTGCAAGGACTTGACGTAGAAGGCCCAAAAGTTTGTCTGTCATGTACTCAGCCATTTTTTGTACAACTTTCTCTGCTGTTCCTTCAAAAACTGTACCAGGTAGCGAGGCATTTGTGTTTATGGAAGTAGGGGTCTTTTTGAAATTGAATTAATAAAATGCTAGTTGTTGCCATTCACTTACATTGTTTATGCTAAGCTAAAGCAAACAGAATACTGTCAGATTAGGAGAATGACTGAGTTGGTTACAAAACTCCCACTTCCCACTTATCTAACTCTCGAGAATATGCCAACAGACAAAATTTTCCTTAGGGGAGGAATATCTCTTTAATTTCATAAAATTATCAGTAAAGTGTCATGTTCAGAGTTGTATTATTTAGAGTATCAGAGAACAAGAGAACTGTTTTTAAATGCCTTTTTAGTTTAGCTAAATTGTGCATTTAAAAATATCTGCATTATAAATAATGTTGCTGGATTGGTTGTGAAGCATAGAAAAACACACTGAGGTGAAGTGCAAAGATAAAGAACAATGGAGAAGTACATTTTCAGAAAATAAGTGAGGGGAAGAGCATGCAAAGTGGTCAGACTGACCTCTGATGAACCAAGTCTGCAAAAATATGTGTCTGCAAAGATGAGTTTTAAATATGTTGTTTATTTAATTTGATTTCAGGAATATCTCCATTCTTTGCATATCCTATTGATTTTAAATGAAAAATGCAATCAAAGAAGGACACAAGACGATTCAGTTGCCTTTAAGGTCGGTTACAGGTCTTTATTAATTTTAAAGAAACGACATGTGATGGTGAAATCTGTCTAAAAACACAAGAAACAGAAGACACAGCAGCTTTTCGGAAGCTTGCTTTAATGCAGACTTAATCCTGTGAAGTACCCAAGCTGTGATTTCTGGCAGAATCAAAGGAAGGAGGAAAAACAAGGCGGTAGGGAAAGGAGGTTGGTGGAGGCAACTTTTATAGTTTTTCTCAAGCCAAAGCAAGAGCACAAGTGTTGTAGGAGTGTTAGGACAGCCACTGATTGTATCAAACAGTTGGTAGAGGCAGGCAGTTAGATGGGCAGCTGCACGGCGACATTTGTGTTACCTTTTTCTCTTTGAGGGGTAACAATGTTCCTGGTCTTATTTCTTTGATTTGGGGTTCAGTTTGAGTAGGGGGTTCAATCAAAAACTTCCCCTCTACTTCCTTAACTGTGCACTTCTGGAACACCTGAGAAGTGGAGACAAGTCAGAGGGACATTGGGGACAAGGACTTTGAGGTGGAGGACTCTTTAGACCACAGCCACAGCTGTTTAATTCTAGCTGAATGCTAAGGAGGATCCTCCTTTGGCAGCTGTCAGTGCCCAGCCGTTGCCACTCCCAAGGTAATCAACCACCACAAGAAAAAATTGATAAGCAGCAGATTCCGGTAATGCAGAAAATCAAACCAACCTGACATCCAGTAACTGGGTTTGTGAATGCGTTTGGCAGGATGTGTATGAAAGAAAGTGTTTGCATGCATCTCACCTGAAGTTCTGCCATGAACTTGTCGCTTTCATCCTCCTCTTCTCTAGTATCAGAAGCAGTGACAAGGGGAGGTGTGGCAGGCTTCGACCTGGTCTCCGGTGGAATCTTTGAGGGCTTGGGTTGGGGAGACGGAGGTGGAGCGTTCTCCTCACTCTCCTATAAGCAGTTAAGTCAACTCAATCACTTCTTACATCATTCATTTTCAAGTTCAAAGCAACATCCTAAGAGTCTGAGTTCTGCTTCAAAGACAGATCATCTATATATTCTTGCAACAGTCAACCCTTCTCACCTGTGCTGAGATGCTCCCCCTTCTGGTGGTGTACACCACCTCCCCAGAACGGGTTGTGGTCATGCCTGAGCTGGAGGGGGAGAAGCCTTTCCTTGGAGGAGGAGGCGGTGGGGACTTATTGGGTTTGTCGGAACCCTGTTTGGGCAAACTTTCAACAGCTGCTTGTTTAATGAAAACTTTTGAGGGTCTCTCTGGTGCTGGCTTGGTGGATTTCTCCATTGGAGGCTTTGGAAGTTTCTCCAACCCCTTCTTGATTGGTTTTTCCAACTGAAACTCCTCTGTTAACAAGATGAATCAAATCACAGAACTAATGTTAATTGACATGAAAAGATTCATCGTGTGTTTGATCTTGACAGGCCTAAACAACAGTGGGGGTGACCACAGGCCAGACCAGGTGATCAGCGGGATTGTGCACTGGAATACCATCTACGCTGCGAAACTCATACATTATAATGCCACTAAAAATAAATGTAACGAGTGAGGAACTTGAAGAATTCAGAAAAGCCATTGACTTTCTGCCTGAAGAGGTGTCCACAGTGAGCAAACAGCAGACAAATCATAGACTTGGTGGAGGAGGTAAAAGCATTAAGATTGAAAAATGAAGAGAAAGATAAAAAATTGCATTGCTGGAAAATAGGGTAGCTAACCTAGAACAATTCTCTAGAATGAATGAGGTTATTGTCTCAGGGTTCAAAATAAAACCTAGGTCTTATGCCCAAGCTGTGTCAAAAAGAAATGATGAGCAGAATAATGACACAGAGATGCAATCAGTGGAAAACAAGTCATCACCTTCTTCCATTCCAAGGGAATAGAAGTAAAAACGGATGATGTTGAAGCTTTTCATTCTCTATTCAGCAGAAAGTGAGACAAACCTCCAAATATGATCATTTGGTTTACAAACAGGAAATGTAAGATTGCATTATTGAGACAGCGACCTAAACTAAAAGGAACAGAAGTCTACATAAATGAACATCTGCAGAAATTGCTAAAACAGCCAGATTTCATCAAAGGCAGAAGAAAATCTTAGCTACATGGACAGCCAACTGTAGAGTCTACATTAGACTTAATGGTACACCGGGAGAAGCCAAAGTTCAGTTACAGAAATAAAAAGTATGGAGGAATTAGACAAATACATAGGACAAGATTAATAAGAAAAAACATACTACTGTGCCAGAAATGAGTGACAGTTGTTGAGTTCAATTATGTTTGATCCGGATCAAGACATTTGTCCTGATAATCATTTCTTTAATCATTTGAATAACAGTTGTCAATATTACACTGAGGAGCAGTTAAATGTACTAAATAAGTTTGAACAATGTATGTCAATTATACACTTTAACAGTAGAAGTTTGTATTCAAAAACACCTAAGGAGTTTCAATAAAGTATTTGAAGTAATAGCCATTTCTGAAACTTGGATTTTAATATGCAAGGATACAAAATGGTTTACAAAAATAGGATAAATAAAAATGGAGGAGGAGTTGAAATGTATGTGGATGAAAATCTGAAGTTTAAGGTGGTAGAAAGAACGACATTAGCAGTTGAGAATATAATGGAATGTGTTTCTATTGTAAATTATTAGGGAAAATATGAAGAATATAATAGTGAGCTGTATATACAAAGCACCAAATTCTAACATTGACAAGTTTAAAGAGATTATCAAGGAACTTTTTGCAAGTGTGCAAAAAAAGATACTTTTATTTGTGGCGATTTTATTATCGACTTGCTGAATCCCAGAGAACATAAGAAGACAGTTGAATTTATCGTTTCAGTATATAGTATATATATATATATATATATATATATATATATATATATATATAAGACAGAGAGCGAGAGAGAGAGAGAGAGAGAGAGAGTCTCTACCCATTGATAACAAAGCCTAGCAGAATAACAACGTATAGAACTACATTAATTGACAATATATTTACAAATTGCATGGAAAAACTAATTACCAGTGGATTGCTATTAAATGAAATCAGTGATCATCTTCCTATTTTTGCAATTTTTGATGGTGGCTAGAAGACAAAAGACATTGATAATAATAAAAGAGTTAAAAGAAGAGTAACAAGTGATGCCCTGAATGCACTAAAAAAGGAATGAACAAGATTGGAAAACAGATCTTGATAATAAAAATGTTAACTCAGCTTATGATTATTTTCTTAGCATATTTAAGGAGTTATATGATAAAAACTGTCCAATAGTGGAATACAAAACAAAACTAAAAAAAGATATGCCTTGGATGACAAAGGGGCTTTTAAACGCTTGCAGGAAAAAAAATACTTTATATAGAAAGTTCTTGAGTCAGAGAACTGTGGAAGCTGAAACAAGGCATAAAAAACATAAAAATAAGTTGACAAATATTTTGAGAAGCTGTAAAAAGAACTATTATGACGAGATACTACAAAAAAGTAAAAATAACATTAAAGCAACATAGAACATTTTAAATTATCTGATTAGAAAGGCACCAAATAAAGAGTTATCCAGATTACTTTACAGCAAATGGCAGAGAAATTAATTATATGCAAGAGATAGTTGAAGGATTAAATGATTTTTTTGTAAACATTGGACCTAACCTAGCAAAAGCACTTGAAAAATCAGGGAGTAGTAAAGAATGTGAAAAAGATGAAAAGGAGATTGGAGCTCCGTCAACGTTTTTACAACCAACAAATAAAAATGAAATTATCAATACTGTTAATAAATTTAAGAATAAAACATCAAAAGACTGGAACGATATATACATGACATTGGTGAAAACAGTAACTGGAAATATAGTTCAACCACTGGAAAGCATCTTTAATTTGTCTTTAGAATCAGGTATTTTTCCACAAAAAAAGAAAAGAGCAAAAGTAATTCCATTATTTAAGGAAGGAGACAGACATGAATTTACCAATTACAGACCTGAGTCTCTGCTTTCACAGTTCTCCAAGACCTTAGAAAAACTTTATGCAGATAGATTGGACAATTTTATCAATAAACAAAACCTACTCATAGACAATCAGTATGGATTCAGAAATTACAGATCCACATCTTTGGCTTTACTGGACTTAGTAGAAGAAATAACTAGTGCTATTGACAGAAAACAATATGGTGTAGGAGTATTTATAAATTTAAGGAAAGCTTTTGACACTATAGATCACAATATTTTATTACAGAAATTGGAACAATATGGGGTTAGAGGTATTGCATTAGACTGGGTGAAAAGTTATATGACTAAACATGAACAGTTTGTGCAGATGAATGAATTCAGTTTAAGTATAAGCAACTTAATTTGTGGAGGCCCACAAGGGTCAATTCTGGGTCCAAAGTTATTTATTTTATACATTAATGATATAAGTACGGTCTGTCTCGAACATATTGAAAATGTTTATTTTTGCAGATGACACTAATGTATTAGGTGTAGGAGATAATATAGAAAAATTACTAGATGTTGTCAGGGAGGAACTGATAAAACTGAAGCAATGGTTTGACAAAAATAAACTATCAATACATTTAGAAAAAACTAAATATATAATATTCAGAAATCGAAGCATCAATACAAATGCAAAAATTATGATTAATAATACAATGATTGATAGAGTTTGGGAATGTAAATTTTTAGGTGTCATAATTGACCACAAACTATGTTGGAAACCACAAATCAAACAGGTTACTGCAAAATTAAGAAGAAGTACAGGAATACGATCCAATGTTACATATCTCCTAAAAACCAAAGTGTTGCTTACATTGTACTGTTCACTTATTCTGCCATACCTCAGTTATTGTATAGAGGTGTGGGGAAATACTTATAAAACCACCTTACAGCTGTTATTTAATCTTTAAAAAAAGCAATAAGAATAATACATAATGTAGGATTCTATGAGCATACCAGTAATCTATTTTTAAAATCTAATCTGTTTAAGGTCAACGATAATGTTAAATATAACTCAGTGCAAATAATGTATAAAGCGAAAAATCAACTTCTTCCACTGAACTTACAAAAACATTTTAGGGAGAGAGAAGGAGATTGCATACTCAGAGGCCAAAATAACATGAGACAATCATGTGTACATACCACACAGTAAAGTATGACCATTTCTGTCCGAGGAGTGGTTTGGTGGAATCGCATACAGGAAAACATAAAAAATGTAAAACTGTTGTACAATTAAAAAAATTATATAGAAGAAAACTTTAGGAAAATTACTAATTTGCTAATGAATTATGGTAGACATTAAGGACTCGGTAAAGCAAAGTCAATAAGGTCTAATTTAGAATTTTGATTTTGGATTTTATTTAAGATGTAAAAGTATAAGTGTTTATATGATTTCTTGCTAATGTGAAAATTTAAGTTTTGCCTATTGATTTTGTTATGATGAATGTGTAGAGATCTTTATTTGGATTTTGGAAATGGAAAGATGTTGAGGGATAGGGCAATGAAAATCCTTGAGCTTCTCCCTATTCCCCTTTAAGGACCAAAGAGGAACCTCTAAATCCTCTAAAGAAGACATTTTTATTTTGTAATTGATTTTAATTTGTTTGAATGGTCTGAAGTGAATAAATAAAAAAAATAAATTAATAATACCTGATGGTGACTCAACAGGGCTGGGAATGTTCCCCTGTTCCACGATACCGGCAACTGGCAGTGGCTGGTTTTCTTCTACCTCTAGACTTGGAATTCCCTTCATCATGTTGACCTGGGCCTCCAGAAGGATCTTCTCGAACTCCTTTCCATCGTAATGACCCATGTTCTGCCTCTTCTCCTCCCATTCCTTCTCTTTAGCCTACAGGTTTAAAAAGAAAATCATTGAAAGTCAAAATATAATCTTATGGATTATGATTAATGACTTCTTCTGTGGTTAGCATACCTCTATGGACATGGCTCTGTTTTTGTTTTTGTCCTGACTGTTCTGTAGCTCCTCTATAACAAGACCCTGGTGGGGATTGCCATTGCCGTTATTGACCAGGTTTCCATGAGTCTTCTTATGGCGGACAGGACTCTGCGGATCTGAAGTTGCCCCTTTGAGAGTATCCACCTTGTGAGTCTTGCTCAGGTTGGGGCTGGAGATAAGAGTCGGGCTTGGGGTGAGGGGAGGACTGGGCTGAGTGGTGAGGGCTGCAGATTGCTGGGAATGCTGCATGTGGACCAGGGAACTCTGAACATGGTGGATGACCACAGGAGAAGAGGGCATCACCTCAGATCTGACTGTGGAGCTCTGAGGCTCTGGTGTAGCTGGAGTTGAGTCGTGCTGTTGGACCAACGCAGGTGGAGCGTCCGCAGCAGCAGCTTCTGCAGCTGCAGCATCACCATTACTAACTGACATATTATTAGAACTGAGTCCTTTCTGAGAAACATTTGTTGCCCGTCTGCAGGAAGGAAACAGAGAAATGACAGAAAAAGGTTCAGTGATCAGAAGTTTAGATGTGTGAATACGTTTTCTTCTTTTAAAGAGGAAAGCTGAGTTTGGTATGTGACGTATTAAAATGGAAACGAGGCGCTGCAGCATCCACCAAATTAATTCACTTATCAGTTTGGTGAAGGTGGGTGCCACATTCTTTTGTCCACACAGAATGACCTCTGTGATGGGATGAAGGCTGCCCTGCTCATACAATCAAACAGTTCAATCTCCCACACTCCTCTGAGAAGCCCCTTTTCATTTCATCTTTAATTCCCTCTCACACACCCACGCCCTAGGACTTGTTCTTCTCCACTTTCCTCTCCATACCTTCTCAGAGTGCTGAGGGAGTCAGTCAGGCTCTTGACCCGTTTCAGCATGCTGTCGAGTTTATGAGGCTCCTCCTTCAAAAACTTCACAGCCTCCACTTCGACCCTGAGCACAGCTCGCATTCTGGTTTGCAGGGCTGGGAATTCTCCTGTGGTGACAAGAGACGCTACATTCATTTAAGCTACTAAAACAACAATTTTCTTATGCAAAAGATAGAAAACACACAATTAAAATGTATAGATCTTGAAAATCTTTTTTTTTTACTGAGTTGCATTAGAGGGAACCATCTTACCTTTAAGTCCTGCCAGAGATTCCCCCACCTTCCTCAGAGTCATAGCTCCCTCCTCCACATCCTTTAAGGTCACAGCTCTGTGTGTAGCTGGGGAATCTTTCTGTAGAGAACCTACGTAGTGTTCCAACTCACTGCAGAGATGATAAAATACAACATTTTTTTCAATGATTAACTATTTTAGTCAATTGGGCAGAAAAAAACTATCAGAAATGAAAATTTGATAAAATGCTCAGATTTCTGCTGTGCTAATATGAATTTAGTTTTGGTTAACTGATATGATCAAATGCATTTACATTTACCAAACAGAAGGGGGCAATCTTTTTGCCTAAATATCATACATGAGCCTAAAGGAGCTGAGTTGAGAGAGAAAATCACTCATTTACCAGATTATTTTCTCAACTATGTTAAATTTATTACTACTCTTCAATTGTTTGGGCCTCTACCCAGTGCCACCAGTTTAGAGCTGATTTTTTGCAACTCTTTACACAGAAAACTGATCAGAATGCCATTTCAGAAAGTTGCTAAAGAAAACTGGGTGCTTCCAAGGGGAAATACGCTGAAAGATAACACTTCGTGCTGAGCTGGATTGCCTGAGAAGAGCCATAATGGTGTTTCATTGCGGTCAGGTACCCTTGAGGAGAACTCTTTTATGAAAGACCCCCCCCCCCCCCCACCCCAAAAGGAACGCAGAGTGAAATGCCCAGTTATGCCAAGGCCAGCTGCTGAGAGGAGTCATGGAAATTCTATCTGAGGTCAAAGAAACAGATTTTCTTTTGTATCAGGTCTGACGCAGGTTTTATGTGATTATGTGCCGTTAGAGAGTGCTACAACTATCTGCTGCTTTCAAAAAACAAAGAGTTCATTGTGAAACTGACAGAATTGTAAAGGTTTAATGAATAGCATTCCCATGAGGCTTTGTAACATGTACGTCGATTGACAAACTTATTTTGTGGGATTGCAAAACTCACTGTTTATGACGGGATTTATTCATTGCAGTTGTCACTAACCCCAAATCCACACTGGCGGCATCAGCGGAGCAGCAGCGGAACGTCGCTGCTTCCAGTAGAATCCATTATAGTCTATAAGGTTGATCCACAGATCATTTCAAGCCCATTCCATAAGCAGCTCCCCATGCAGCTAAAGATAGGGGCTCTATTTTTGCTGCGAGCCACTTCTGGAATTTGTCAATTTCCGCAGTTAACATAGTGCTAGACAGGAAATTACACACGGTATCATTGTAAAACGTCTGGTAATTTTCAAAATAAAAGACTTAGTGCAGAGATGCGATTTCTTATCCATGTAGATTACATCAATACTTGTGACTTAACAATTAATTTACTCCCAGCATCTTTTTACAGGTGCAATGGTGTGTTTTTATGGCGTTATTATTGGCAGTAGAGAGGAACATTATGTATGGTATTAAACTTCATCTCCTTCTTGGTTTAATGGCATAAACAAACCTTTGAAGTCTCGAGGGATTTAGTGATCTCGCGAATACATTGAGGATGGCGGAGAAGCTGCTCCATTGCTGAGACTCCTTTGCTGTGGACTGACGCACCGCGAAGCACCTAAACCGTCCCACTGCCGTTCTGCGTCATTGATGTCTCCAGCGTTAATTCAGGGTTAGGCCCAGTTCACACAGCAAGAAAACTATGCCTATGTTTCACCCAATTCACAAGGTGAATAGTGATTTTTTTTTTTGTCACACAAACAAAACAATGGCAGGCATGATAGTGACCTTGAACATTCTGCTTAGTTGGTGGCTTTATGTCAGACTCTGAACCAGGAAAAAGCTGGGGTCTGCATGGCAGAAAACTGGAGCAACCAGTGACAGTGATGTCGCATTTTCAGCCTGGCTTCATACACTTGGCACCACACTGAAGTGGGTACTGATAAGAGTGTGGTAACCATGCACCATTTACTAATGGAAACCACACTGACATGAGTAAGAACTGAGGTTATTGCCCCATTCAGACACTTCTCTGACTAGCCAGTAGCTTTTCAATCTGAAATAAACTCAATTTCTCCACACTGAGATTGTTCAAAGAGCTATCTACAACAGTTAAGATATTAACTGATTGCTACCTTTCCACAGATCCTGACTTTTAAAACTATGAAAAATCATTTAAAACTTTTACTTAAGTGTGTTTTTGTAGAAGTGAATACTTAAAGATCATGGCAGGTGTGTTCCTCCTCGAGCTTTACCATAATCTCCGCGTCGCCCTTCGAGCCGAGTAGCTTGTGTCACCACGCCTTAAAGTGACAGCAGCTTTGTGTTGCTGACTTGCAAAGGGCTAGATACCAAGACAGAATGTAACCTAGCTGCAATTGATTAACTTTTACTATTCCTTCTTCCACGTGCTTCCATCACCTGCATTTTCCCAAGTCTACACTGACTATCTAGCACGACAGCACGGTTTGACCTTGCCTTGTAAACATCCAAATAAGAGGGATTTAATTACTGCTCCCTGTGGGCTCGATGAGGTGCAGGAGCAGGATAATAAGTAATTACTCCACAGTTAAGTCTATTGTTCTTCACTGACACACACACACACACACACACACACACACACACACACACACACACACACACACACACACACACACACACACACACAGACACACTGCTGGCTTGTATAAACCTGTGCGCTTCACTTTGGAGTGTGTTGGCTTGTCTATGAGGTTGGGATTTAATGACTCAGGTGAGCTGATGAAGATGAAACCTTTTGGGGAATTTCCTGCAAATGGAAGAGCACAGACTGGAGCTTCACGGGTGTGTCTCTGTAGCTTTTGAAAAGCTTTCCTGTAAGGACCATTAGCATGTTGTTCCTTATAGACAAATTGTGTTTTGTATATTTCCAAACTGTAAAATGTTCTTATAAAAACTGCTAAATGATTTAGACTCATTATTGAGGCAACATGCACATGCTAAAAGTAGGGAAGTAATAAAAAGCACATTTTCTGCATTCGTGGGATGAAATATGAAGGGCTGTCCTTTAAAAAAAAGGCAGCTAATTTGGTTCCAATATCTGTTTTTATATCCTTCAGGATTAACGGTGCCTTCACAAAGGTGTGAGTTATCATGCTTCCATGCATCTCTGTAGTGTCACATATTCTGAAATTTGAACTATGCTGCTGGATAATCCCTCTTCACGTTGAGGGTGCACAAAGACGATTCTCTGACGAAGTGGCCTTGAAGAGCCATTTGTAGGGCTTGTTGAAGGCAGGGGGAAAAACTCACCATGTTAGATAGTGTAAAACTAAAAGCCCCACTGGGGAGGTAATTCAAAACCCACAAAAATAAATAAATAAATACATAAATACATAAATAAATTAAATAAATAAATTAAATTAATAAATAAATAAATAAAATAAATAAAATAAATAAAATAAATAAATTAAATTAATAAATTAAAAGTATGTATCTAGAGTGACTCAACCAAACTGAACACAATGACCTGATGGAGGGAAAAGGTGGATTATAAACTGAGAGGCTGATAATGAATGGAGAATGGGGGAGTGGCAATTAGTAACAAAACCCAGGTGGGAAAGAGACAGGAAAAACAACACAGGTTTCCAAAGTAAAACAGGTAAATAGGAACATACACCGTATAACAGAACCAGTGGAACTAGAGTTCAACACGAATTAAACAGAAAAAAACTAAATCATCTCACAGATCATAACAAATTTAAACTCAAGACTAAGGCAGCTGATTTTCTGTTTGAGTGTTCTTTTGATATCTTCGATAATTTACCTTAAATTTAACAATACATTTTTACTTTTTATTGTTTACCAATATGCCAGTTGTATATTTTCACACTGAATCATGCCACTAAACAAAATCAGAAAAACAAAATTGAATTTGAAACATTTTACTGCAATCAGGTTCACAAAGCAGGATTTTTTAAAATTAAATATCCAGTTAAAAATGGCAGTTATATGTTAGGTTAGAATTGAGAAACTTGTACGGAGTCTTACCTGAGCTGTGTGAGGACCTGCTCCTCCATACCCAAGTACTTCTGCCTGTCCTCCTCCACCAGAGATCGCTGTCTCTGAACAGGGTCTTCCAGTCGCCGCATGGCCTCTGTGAGTTTAATACTGATTTCCTGCTCGGCCCGCTTTAGCTGCACCCGTAACACCTCCTGATTTTGGAGCTGTAGGGGATGTACGCAGTGAAATGATATTAAGACCCCAGAGACCAGTAAACCACCACAGAGCTCTTGTGATTACACGTGTGCAGACAGGTGTACGTTCGAAACGGCACAAGAGCAGTTTAAATCAATTAAGAAGGGAAAGAGCTCTTGCCTGCAGCTGTTTCATCTGGTGAAGCTGCATCCTGAGATCAGAAACATTTTTCTTGAAGTGCAGGAGGTTCATTTTGACAGGAGCTACGCTCTTGTCTGGTGGTGCTGCAGTGTTTTTAGGAGCCATGACTGGAGAACCACCTGGGTCAAGAAAAACATTGATATTCAGGGTAAATCTGGTTCCATTGGAGCCTCATAGGCAGTGGTGCCAAGCCCTGATTCTACAGGGTCATGATCCTGCCTGTTCTATAGCTTTATTTCGTCAGCGTGGTCTCTAGTTCATGCAGAATAGTGGCTCTAGAGAACCAGGATGGACACTACTGCCTCATGAGCCCCATATACAGTAACTCAGAGATATTTGATGTTAAAACCATAGAAACCAGTAAAAGCATCATTTGTGGACCTTTTTTAAAATCCCGAACGGCCAAAAGAAACAATGTCTAGAGGTAGTTTTGGTTTGAAGACCTTATAGGTTGTTTTCAAGAGGCTTCTGAAGGTTTCTGGTGGGGTACATTTAAAACTAGTGGTTGAAATTTTTACACAAGCTGATTTGTTTGTTTTTAATCGCCCTTTTGAATAAAGTTGATATTGTGATGTACAGAGATTTAAGTCAATATAACTTCTGTAAATTTCAGTGACAAAGGTCAGACTCAATGCACTCTGCTGGGTTTCCTTAGGAAGAAATATTTTAACTACCGTAACTGGATTAATGAACTGAAACAAATGCATTGATACTTTGTTCAATTGGAATGTTTTTTCTTTGTAAAGTGCCTCAAAATAACTTGTTGTGAATTGGTGCTATATAAATACAATGAAGTGAAATGATTACGATTTGGTGACATAGAAGAAATGAATAGTGATCAATACATGCATTTAGAGATAAAAGTGCACGTTACGCTGAAAAATCGAATCACCGTCAAATTAGTGTCAAGGGTCTCAACCTTCTGGAAAACGGGCTGGTACATTTAATTAAACTTTGCTAATTAAAAATAAAAATGCAACCCTCCACAACAATAATAGATTGTAACCAAAACTTAAAGGTGCGAGTTAGAATGACATCATGTGGTCAACTGTGGGTACTGCAGGCCATGTATCAAAACAAACAAGTCTGCTCTCTTTCCATGCAATCCTCCTTACCACATGATTAAGATATTAGACTGTTTTGTGATTTTTTTTTTCACTGTAAAACTAACTTAATGCTCTTTTAAGAATGACCTTTGTGCGACTGACGTAAACATTTGTTTTGGTGGAATTCTTCTTAAACATTTCTCAAAAGTAGAATAAGACTGTTGAGCAGGATAAAAACATTGCACATTTTTGACTCTTTAATCCTGATAATCTGTTCACGCTCGCTTTCTTTAGAGGCGCTCGGACCTGAGATACTAGTTACAATCGAAACCGCTGCTTTTAGGCCTTCGTGACACGGTGTAAAGGAAAACAAAGAAAAAGAACAAAAAGTGCATGCATGCACACTGTGTGGTAGCGCTGAAGAAACGTTTATTAGCAAATACTTAGAAGACAACCTGTAACCTGTCTAATATTTTCTAAAGGTCCTCAATCACAACAAGAACAGATCTGAAAGGTGCACCAATGTTCGGGATTAGTTGTGGAGACACACAAACAGAGCACTGTTTTTCTCTGCCACTGGCGATTCAGACTGCAGATCTTTTCATCAACTCAGACTGCCGCTAAACAAAAACGAGTTTCCTGAACCATGTTGGCAAGCTTGGGAAATAATAGAAGTAAGTTATTTTTTTAAATTTTGCTTTGAAGGGCTTCGGTTGACTCTTAACTCCAATTAAACTCCATGTGTCACGAAGAGGATCGTGAGAATGTGAACTGATGACAAGTAATGAAGCCTGACTTTGTTTTTGCTCTCCTCAGACCGGCTCATTGCACTGTTGACAGACTCTAAAGTGTGGGCTTGTCTGCGCAAGAAGTTTAGGCATTAAGAGCTTTAAGTAGACAGCAGAGAGGCTGCAGAGAAACACGAATACTAACCTGAACTGGGAACACTGTGGGCCGGAGACGAGGTCTTCGGTGGTCTTTCGCTGCAGCAGGAGAAAGTCATTAAAAGGGTTTTCCATAGTTGTGGTTTGAATTTTGTAAAAATAAATGATTACAGGGTAATTTTAACAACATCAAATGTTATAAACAAAGCATGACAAGAAAAACTAGACAAACCAGAGAGGTTAAAATGATGTTAATGATGTTAACGAGCTTTATTGTCAGCACAAAAACATACACTGCAGTCACAAGCATTTCTATTTAAGTCGAAACTGGGACTCAACAGACAACATATGGATCCTGACTGATTAAATAGTTGCCATATTAAGAGGAGCGAATAATAAGAATCAATTTCCTCGTCACCAGATCGAATTTTTCCTGAGTTCTTGATTTTCTAACGAATCACCGTAAAGTCTTTTCTCACTCCTACACTGTGGATGCTTACCTTAGAGGTGCCTTGTTGCCACTAGTGTTTGGGTTCTTTAAAAGTGCATGATGAACAAGACCACTCAAGCTGGCAATCTGTTGCTCCATAACCTTCATTCGCTGTCTGCAGAAACATTAGAAAATTCTACTGATTTCACAGCTGCTGCTATCGCAAATTTATGAAAACAAGGAAGTGTGTGTTTATTATTATTATTATTATTATTTTTTGGGTTCTGCAAATATTTCTGCATACGTACCAACTACACCCAACCGTAATTGAGATGCTCCAGTCATGTCATTTGTTGCTTAACAATTTTCTTTGAGTTGTCGTTCTGGTGAAAGCTGAATCAATACGATGAAGACGTTTTGAACATTGGAGCCATGGGGGAATAATTTAGAATTTCACTGTAAATTCGAGAGCATTAGCTACTACATTATGGCCAGTTTGGTCTCTAAAACCACTAAAAGTTTCACAGCATTCTTACACATTTACCAAAATCTATTTCAGTCACATTTAACCCTCTGGAGGCAGGCGTTGCAGATTTGTAACGTTAAAACCTACCTACCTGGTTACTCCACATACGTATTTCATGAGCATTTTTTAACTCAGAAATACCCCTGAAGGACTTAGTTGTTCGTCCTTTTATCAAAAGTCATTTTGAGCCTGAGCCTGTTTCCTATTTTCCAGCAGCAGCAGTAGGTGATGAGTTATTAAACACATAAATTACACATATACTCTATATATTTGGCATTGATCTCTAACTACTTTAAATGCTAGATAAATTAAAGCATTTTCAAGGATTTTAAGCAACGATGTCTAATATTTATTATCTTTTTTTTCACTGAAACTAATCTAGTAGAAACTGAGCTGTTGTTTAAATTTATCTTTTTTATCTTTAAGACTTAAAACAAGTTGCTACTTGAATGAGAATCATAATTGTATGGCGTCTTTGAGTTGTTGTGAAAAGCGCTTTATAAAACTTATATATTATTACTATTATAATTGAAACACTTGAAAATATTTTAAAGAATTAAAAATTATTAGGGTGTGTTCTCTTTGTGAATATAGAAGAAAAAACTGTTCAAATGAGGGTGCTTATTGTCAAAATTTTACCGTATAGATCTGTTATCAAAACTTTCCTGCTTGAATTTAAAGACATTAACAATAAATTTGTGTTTTGCTCCTGTTTTGGAAATATTTTGCTTGAAACGTTCTTAAGGAATGTGCAAAAAATGTCTTTTCTAATTTAAAATAAACTAATTTCCATTTTAAAAAACACCAAGATTTTTAGTTGTAAGAAGATGTTGTGGAAAAAAACAGTTTAAAAAATATTTCTCCCACGATACTAATGCTTAGGACCTTTACATCTACACATTGATTCTTTTACAGAATGAAAAAGAGCCAAAAGTGATTTTGAGTTGAGTAAATAAAAAATATGGTTAAAAAAAACACAAGATGGATGGATTCTCACAAGGTAAAACTGACAATGATAGTTTAGTATTTCTTTTTTTTTTTTTTTTACTAAAACAATGATAATTCACCAGCCACCAAAATACAAGTAAAAGGGACATTTGAAAATTATACCGCAAGAAAAACCAAACCACCAAAAGAGGGAACAGAAACTCATACAAGGAGATTCCTCGGTCAGCCAAAAACTTGGAAAAGAGAACAGCTTTTGTCCTCAGATCTAATATTTTATCTGCAGGAAGGTTTTGGGGTACGCTGAAGACACAAGAAGGACTGCTATTGTTGCTACATGAAGTCTACATGATTAGAACAATTCCTGACCTTGGTGTCACCAATTACTACACACAAGTAAATGAGGTGACAGCTACAGAGATCTGTTTAAGGAACATGTTAATTTGGACAAAATGCACTAAAACTACAATCCTCCCTGAGCATTACTAATCGGGGTCCAATGTCTCCCAGGTGGTCTCGTCTGACCTGTCTGACTGATTGAGAGATTTCAAACACATACCAAAGTTCCATACAAACAGTCCTTGCAGTCGCTCACGTTTCCTGGCTAAGGAGCAAAAATTCCTCTTGCCCTTCATCTGTGTTTATGTACTTTCACTAGGAGTAGAAAAATCTAGTCCGGGTACAAAAAATAACCTGATATTGTTGGATTTAGGTGACGAAAAGAAAAAAAATACTGCAACTTAGATTTGCTGTAAGTTGTTTAGTCTAGGGAACACAAACTGTGAAAACAAAGTGAGACTTGTGAGAACTATGTCAACACAAACCATGCTTGTACATAATATTGTGGATTAGTTCGATGACCTAAATTGAATATCTTCAAGCTGATAGATGGCGACATGACAGGTTATACTCTTGGATTTTGGTATGGATGATGAAACAGAATCAGAATCAGGCATGAGAACTCAACAGCTCATGGTGAAAGTAAAACTGGGATGCAAAATTAGTCCATGCTCTCTCATGCAGTGCTTCAATCCAGATGATAACAAATCCCCCCACATTTTAATGTTGATTATATTTAGTACCCGGGTTACTTACTGGTCACTTGGAGATGGAACGGGACTCTGGGAGAAAACTTGAGTATCTGCAATCACAGGTGATCCCACGCTGTTCCTGGGCTTAACCAGGGTAACGTCGTCCTTTCTGAAGGACTGGCGCACTGGTGAGCTCCTCTCCAGTGGAACACCATGAGAAGGAACACCAGGAGGAGGCATACCATGAGGTGGTACACCATGAGAAGGAACACCAGGAGGAGGCATACCATGAGGTGGTACACCATGAGGTGGAACACCAGGAGGAGGCATGCCATGAGGGGGGATGCCTTGGATATCAATCACCCGTACCTCTGTCATCCGGTGAGGGGATGGAGGAGGAGTCTTAGAACCCAAAGAAGGCAGCTGGCTATTTCTGGACTTCTGCCTGTAAAGTGATGGGTGATCCATGGGGTCTGTAGGACTGGGCCCACCATAAGAGCCTGTTGAGCGAATGGAGGCACGGTGAAACCCTCCCATTCCATGATCTGCATTATCAAGTCCGGGGCCGGGGTGTGGTCCATGGGCCGCGGCCATCCCAATTCGTCCCTCTTGGAGCAGATATGGATCTGCATACAACCCCTCATTCCCCCTGGTTAGACTGTGACTCTTCCCACCTAAGTTCTCATCCGGCTTGACATCCCGTCTCTCGAGTATAGCACTGGGGCAAGGAGAGATGGCGCGCACCTGAGGATTAGCGTTAGACAGTCGATCTCTTGGAATTGTAGCGCTCCCAGGTGCAGAGTTCTGTCTTGGGCCAAACGGGATTCTGGAAGGGGATGGAGGCATGGAGTGTGGAGTCGGGGGGAGTGCTCCTTGCATCGAATGGTGTGATGGGGGACCCAAAGGCGGATGGCGTAGAGGGTGTTGACCATCACGGGCGGCATGTGCCATCTCACTGTGCATCTGGAAAAGACAAAACGTATAAAACAATATAATCCCACATTTTAAAACTTGTTTTCTTTTAAAACAGATAAAACTAATGCATTTCACGAAAATGTCATACCAGATTGCCTGCCTGAGAACCCTGACATTTTTGTTATACATTCTGTCCTGTACACAAAGACTGAAGTTGTTTTGAAAAACTAGATTAAACTAATTCAAGTTTACAATGTTGCTTTTCAGAAGAAAACACACTGTCAGCATGCTTTGCAGGAAGAAAAAGTATTAACTTGCAAGGCCACAAATACTCAGTACACCACATTTTCTTGATATTATGCCCACAGGCCTTCGAGAAAACAATATCACAACTAACAAACATGTTTCTTTCTTTGGAACAAAGTTCTCAAAGGCTTTTACTTTTATATGTAAGGTGATTTCTACTTTGAGTTGTTTAAATAAGCCACTCAACTGGAGATAAGAGTGTGGCTTTCTAAAAAATGCACCTTCAGGACCTTCAAGGCTAGAAGCCATGTGGTTAATGTGCAACAAGATCTATCCAACATTGTCTGTTTAACCAGTCAGCTAATCTCGGTCGCTGTAGTTAGTGACAACACCTATAAAAACTATTAATGGTTAATTTACAGTCACAAGAGCAGCTTTCTGTGATAGAGAGGGATGACACAGTGAAGAAGCCATTCTGGTTTTCTTTAGTAGAACAATTCAACGTTGTTTAGGTCCTATATCTTTTGCAGATCAAATAAAAGGGAGCTTTGGTTAATGTGGTAAGCCACCAGTTATGTTTCCACTCTAATCCAATTTGTTTAAAGGTCTCTTTCACTAATTTCTTCAATAACTTTGCTGTGGTCTCTAGTATGAATGAATACCTTGTGAGTTATTACCTGTGGGAAAAAGGCTCTCACGCTCCTGTTTCATGGGGTTAACGTTTGTCGGAGGGCTTGTTTGGTGGAAAAAGGCAGGATTTCAAGTCTTGTTAATATCTGCGATGTACAAAACTCCCACCTGTCAGGTTCTGGGGTTGTGGGTTGCTCACATTTTCCTTCACAGGTTGTTGGAGGGCTATGGAGATGCTTAGGGAGACTCCTTCCGGCTAATTACCTCTGCTGCAGAGTCACCCTGCTCACCTGCAGCCCGTTCTAGTTTGTTGAAACTAAACCTAATTTATTTCCTGAAACCTCTCTGTTTGTCCTGGCAGGATTCCTAAGACCCAGCTCTGGCTCACACCTTCATGTTGAAGACTCCAGCCTCTCAGACTCGCCTCTGCAATTCCCTTCTGTTCTCCAGAACCAAGGCTGAGTCCTCCCAGGCCCTTGGATCTCCTCCTGTTCTGTCCTCCTCCCCTAAGTCTCCTGTCCACCCTCCAACATCACGCTGTAAGCTGTAGATATATATATTTTATGCTCACAGCGCTCTTATCGCCTGTACTCTCCTCCAAGCTCCAGTCACTGCTCCTCCCAGAACCTCGTCACCGGCTCACCTCTCCCACGCTCTGCTGCAACCTAATCCCAGTAAGAACTCTCCCCACTATATTATATATTCCTCCTCATCCCGATCATTTCATGTGTCATTTTTTCCAGTGGTCCAATCTCTGGCTCCAGAACCAGCCCCATCCCTAGCATCCTCTGCTGACCTCCTTTATAAACTGTTTTGTATTACATCTCCTGGTCTCCTGAGAGTTCCTATTATATGTGGGTCGAATATCTTCATAAAGATAAAACCATGACACCACCTCTGATTTGCTAACAACAACACAACACTTCCGTTGACTTGATAAGACCTGAAATCCTACTTTGTTTTTGGGTACACAATGTATCGTTGATGTGTTAAATCCACAAATAACTCAAACCCGAACATGCTAATTGTTAGCTTTTTCTAGCTGAGACACGCTCTGCTCTTTCCTGGCTGCAAAATAAATGCCACCTTCGGTGGGCAGTTGCAAGGTGGACGAGTCCATGGATGCTAATTTTCCCTGAAAAGTAGAAGAAACCAAAGCCTAATTTTTACTTCTTCAGCTCCACTGGGGAGATGTACACGCATTGACAGAGACCTTTTGCTTTCAGACTTCTCCGTCAGCTGGGGATTGTTGCAAAATAATTCCCTGCCAGAACAACAGAGGGTGTAGCACTATTTTGAGGTATCCTGCCACCATTATAGGCTCGATACACAGGAGACGACAAATGACCACGATCGGCAAAATTCGTCACTGTCGCTTTTATTACCTGACACACGGGAGGCGACCCGTGGCAGCGGTCTACGGCAAAGCCGTCGACTCGTTCTGTTCTATGGCCAAATCGAATCTTCCGTTGTTTTGATTGGCTGTGTCAGGTTGGAGGGAATAAGGTTATTTAAGCGGTTCAGCGTTACAAAAGCGGTAGATATGTTTCACAAGTTGCTACTATGTGAAATCTTACTTCTGATTTTACTATATATAAAAAAAATAATAAATAAAAACCGGAGAATGGGTTCATCTCATATTACAAACTAGACATGCATCCTGTCCGCTCATTGGTCAGTGAATGAAACCTTTGTTGATTGGTCCTCGTCCGAGCGACAGCGATGAAATGTTGAAAATATTTCAACTTTCTAGAATCGCGTCGCTGGTTCGCCTGTGCATGACACGTGCACAAACGCAAAATTTCACACGCATGTTTTTCGCGTTTCGCTTAGTAGGAGGGAGACCCACGATTATTGCTTTGTTGCGTATGTCTCATTGAAAATGAATGGAGGTGATGTCGCCTCTCGTGTATCGAGCCCATTACAGTCACGTATCCGGTCCATGATAGTGTATCTACTGTTGTGTTTACATTGATTTAATGTATTTCAGAGACTTTAACACGGACAACTTTGTCCCTCGTCTCTCTCCATCTCTATATGCGATCAGCACCTTTAAACTCACGTTTCTCGTCTTTTCCATCCACGAATAAAATGCTTGGTGCATATCTTTGTACTCCTTCAGTCACAGGTAAATAAGCATTCATATTTTCAGACTTTTTCCGCGATGCAATCTTCAATCTGTTCTGTGTCTGCCGCTAAATATCTTGTTACTTTTTGAAGCGGCAAAGACAGTGCTGTTGACGAATGTACAGGAAGCAGCATCCTGACCAATCAAAAGCTTGCGTTCTCTGTCTCTTTCGATGAATAGTTAAAAATTGGGGCATGTCTCCGTCTTCTGCGAGCACATCGGAAAGCTTTTGCGTCGGCGCATAATAGCGTTACGTGTCTCTGTCCAGACGCAGATGGAAAAGTATAAATCAGGCTCAAGTGGTGCTCGCTGCAGAACCACAAAGGCGGAGCTGCACCAGAAGGTGGAGCTGCACCAGAGTCAGCCCCGCCCATTCCAGAATCAGCCCCGCCCATTCCATAAGAGTCAGTCCAATTCCTTCTAGTTGTCAGACTTGATAGCATTCTGGAACCAAAGAGGGTGTTATAGCTAAAAAATTGAGGACGGAGTTGAGAAGTTAATTGAACAGTTTTTGTAAAGGTTCCATATAATTAAAAATCAAACTTTTGGAACTTTTAATCATGTTATATTGTCATTTCCTCATAAGAAACACGCCAAAGCCATTTTTGGCCTCATTCATGCATTTTCTTCCCATCTCAGCTTCAATTTGGTCTCCTCCCCCGTCTTGGTTCTCAAATCTGGATATTCTGTGAATTTTCTGACAAATTATTTCTTAAATGACTTCTTCTGAGACACCGCCGGAAAAATCATACATACCATCTACAAAGACACACCGGATAGGACAATGAAATGTAACGCCACTTGACTTTTTTAAGATGTGGTGGTGTAGTGGTTATAGAGTCAAGTTGACATGCAGTTTTGCGCAGGTTCGCCTCCCACTAGCAGAAATATTAGGTAGCTTACAACCCCTTTTCCTCATTTCTAGCTACACTTGCCAGTACTATGTTTACAACAATTTACTGGTATACCGTTTAACATATAATGACTAATGTGTTTATTTATTTATTTGTTTATTTAGCCAGTGTGAGTCCATTTGTGAGCAGAGTTTCAACTAAAATACTGTTTAGGAACGACCAAATTCAAAGAACTTTTAGAGACATAAATATTTTGCTGAAAATAAACATTACAACTAAAATATAAACAAATTAAAATGTTTCAGCTGGCTAAATGGATTGTTGCCGACCTCACCGAGAATCGAACCAGCACCAGCTGAGGGGAAAGCAAAACTTAAGTTAAACGATCTCGCCACTGGACTACCAGAGCACGTACGTAAATGACAGATGCTGTTGTACAGCACTTTTCTTGGAGCGGCTGTGGGTAGATATTCGTTAAAAGAAACCTTTTCATTTCGAGATAAATTCAGGCTTTGTCATGTAGCAAGTTATATTTATCTTGTTTAATTGAAGCATAGACCATAGCATTAACGACTGTAAACTAGTAACAGCCGTAATTCATGTGAGTCAGGTTAGTTTGCGATAAAGTTGGAAAAACAAAAACGGAAGTCAGTGGGCTAGACTGAGTTTGCGTGAATGGGCGGGGCTGACTCTGGTGCAGCTCCACCTTATGGTGCAGCTCCGCCTTTGTAGGTCTGCAGCGAGCACCCTCTCATCAGGCTTGGCCTTTTCTGACTCGATTGTTTTCCAGTATATTATCTTTCTGCAGCTAATGCAGAAAAAAAGTCACATTCAGCATGCATATGCACCTATGAGCAACCAATTGTTTTTCAATAAGGACTAGTATTACATGATTTCTTAGTGAATGAGACCTTTAAGTTTATCTTTTGACCTTTCGAATACTTCTTTAGCTTGTATTTTGATGAATTACGTTAAGTGGAATTAGCTTTGGACAAATATTGAGTCATTTATTGCATCACTGTCCAGAAAACCAGTGTATTATCAAAGCCTAGTACTATAAAATCATAAAAGTTTTTTTTCCTTGATTAACTGATGGAAGCTGAAATTTAATAACAGTGATAAAACCCCATGATTTTTATACTGCACTGTTTGGTAACATTAGTCAGGTGGGTGTCGCAGTGGAATCCATTTTCCTTCCTGTCAAACAAAACAAGCTATTGTTTAATCACAGCATGACTCATAGCTAACACCTTGAAATCAAAACCAGTCAAAGAGCCGTAAAGCAAGCTCTCTTTAAAATCTTGTGGCACAGTTCTTTACAAAATGCTGTTTTCAAGGTTGTGTTTGTCTACATTTTCCACAGAGCCAACACAGATCGTCACGGTGAAAAGAACAATAAAACGGGTGTGACTGTTGTGTGTGCAAAGGCACGTGTGATTGCATGGACTGCAGCAATTGCTCAATGCGTATGACAACAAAAGGTTTGAGCTTGGCTGTGATAACAAATGAAAAGAGAAACCCGTTTAGTGTTAAAGTTCACACTGACTGCAAAGTCAGACAAAGCAGTGAATGAGTCAATTTTAAACTATTTGAGATGAATCTTGTTAAATCTTGGGAATATCCAACCAAAGCACCTTAAAATATCCCCGAACAAACTCAGTTGTTAAAACAAGCATAAAATAAAGATGCAGAAGCATGAAAATAAGTACAAGAGTCCAGGGTGAGTGCATCTGGGTTGGTTTGACTCGCAATTGTTTTTCCACTTTTCTTCAATTTGTGTGCACACAGTTACTTCGATCTCTTGCAGTGTCAGCAGAGGTTTCTAAACTGATTCGCAAACTGCAAAAACTCAGAGTGAGCCAAACTAAACAGATAAAGAAAGATGCAGGGAGTTAATACAAATGTGTGTAAACATTTTTACAGCTTATTGGCTGCATACAGTGAGTATGTGTAGAACTGGTGGTGAAAGAGGCGGTTGAAGCTCTACTAGAGATAATTAAAAAAAACTTCTTTGAAAATAAAAAAATAACTATTAAATTCCGATTTAAAAATCCTTCTTCCCTCTCTCCCTCAATCACTGGCAACAATCGTATCCCGATAACCAGAGACAGCTTCATCATGACCAGAAAACACAAATCAACAGCAGGTATAATTGTAAAATCAGATTTAGGACCCAACATGACACTAAAGAGAATGTTCTGAAGCCCAAAGCTTCACTTAAAAGTTCTTTTATTATTATTTCTAGTTTTTACCTTTGAAGAGTCATGTTTTTTTATTAAAAGGTTAGAATGTATCTAACTTGTTTTTGCATTTTACACATTTTCCTTTTTGCGTTGAACGCAGGCAAAGCAACACCCTGGATGTCTATTATTTAACAAATTTCACTGACTGGTGTTAGAGAAGCACTAAAACACAACCAGTTTTCAAACTCAAGGTATGACACGACTGCTTCTATCAAAAAAAAAAAAAAAAACAACTACTCAATGAATTTTTGCCATCACATTTTCTTTACCACATTCAGGAACAGATTCACAGAAAATGTGCTTCGCCTCTTTAACCATTTTCTCCTGCTGTCTGCTCTTTAGTACCAGTTTCGCATTTACGAAGCAAACGGCGCTAACAGGCTGGTGGAAACACACCTATGAACTTCAGCATTTTGGAATAACGTACACTGTTTTTTAGTGTAAACAAAGTGGATATTGCTAAAACACAGCAGGCACAAAAGTGAAAAATTAAGGCGTTAAAAGAGAAGACCCAGAAATCCAGTATTAGCAGGTAATACCTTAGAAAAGCTTAGAGCTATTAAAACCCTTGGTTCTCCATTATTATGCTTGAGGAGCAACATTTTGCAACTTCTACTTGCATAAAAAACATTGAGTATGGATTACAGATTATAAGTTTTTAAGCTGTCCCAATTCTATAGTCAAAAATTCAATGAAATTCGCTAAACTGAGTGAGTTTACCCCACTGCACCCAAAACATTTAGTCTCCAAATCTGCTGTATGGACTCAGAAGATGGGCTCCTAGACAGTTTTACTTACGCTCACAGACATAGATTTAACTTGAGCATGTCAATTTATTTTGAGAATAACATCTTTCTGCCAACACTTGTAGCTTCTTTAAAATATTTGTACAAAATGTACAAGATTAGTCCGACTAAATCTTCACAAAAACTCTTACAGCGTCCAACTAGAGTCTTTTTTATGGTTGTGTTTAAAAGTTAAGCTAAAACTTAAAAAAAAATCTCTAGTTTCTTTTACATTTGACAGCTTATCAGGAACACAACCAGTCCATAAAGCTGGATCAGAAAATAAAGTTTTAAAGAGCAAAAAAAAAAATAAATAAATAAAAAAAACAGCTTTTTGGGGTAAGTTTTACTCCATCAGCAAGACATAAATAACAGCAAAAAAGAAAACAGAGTAATATTAGAGTTCATTTAAAGGGGAAATGACCAATAGGGAGTAGTCTTGGGAACTGAGTTGAATTGTCTAAAAAGCTGCATAAGACTGCAGGGAGAGACCTGAATCTAGGCTCCTGGCAGAACAAAACACATTCCCCCTTAACAGATTAACAAGAGGCAGGGGGGACATTCCTTCCCTCAACTGGAAACAGGATGTGAGAATAAAAAGAACTCGAGGCCCAGCTCGCTATTTTAATTGCGACAAATCTATTCATGTCCCCCACAGCGGCTGAGGCACTTTGTGTAAGCAGCAGCATCAAACTCACCCTGGCATCACCGCTGGCTGGCCGGGGCCCGTAGCTGAACGCCTGTGCTGGGTCTTTGTGGTACACCTTCAGACAGGAGTGGTCTGTGATGTTCCTGTAAGGAAAGGAGGTGATCGATGGTAAGTAGGAAGCCCAGATATCCCCATCGGAGCGCGGCCGATCCTGTCTCAACCTGGATCTCTTCAACATCTCGGCTAAGGGAACGTATCCTGACAAAGCCTCGCTGTCATCTGACATTTTCTTTAATTCTCAAAGTGAAAGTTTCTCCGCATAAGCAGATCCCACTCACTGTGGTTTTGTACTCTGGACACCAACCCTAAAGCATCACAAGATATTTTATATACAACCCTGATAAAGAACTTATCACAAAGTACACACTTCACCTGAGCAGGAGCTCCTGTCTGGAGACCAAAGGTCAGCGTTTCTTATGTCTTTCATGTTTATTGTCTAAACATTGTATAGGTCATAAATGATTCAGGTGAATAGCAAACTAGGAAGCAAGAAGGCACAAAGGAAAAAAATAGAATAAGCTGTGAGCTAGACGGTTGCTGCTGTTTTTCTAAAATTACGCACAACACAATCCTTTGGAAATTATAGACTTAAATGTGTGACGCTGCTACTGCTGGAAGTTTGGAGAGTAAAACTTTTACACAACAAAGCAGGAAAGTTAAGAAAATATTAAAAAAGTGTTTGAGTGATTCAGAGACCTGGTACCAAACATCTTTGACTTCAAATAACTTTCTTTCTTACATGGAGGGAAAAGGATGTGAGCTTTTCCTGGTCGGAAACATTTCCTGTTCAGGGAAAGCTGAATTAGGAATTCCAGGGCTGCCACCTCTCACACATTGAGCGTGAGACACACACAATGAAATGTTCAAATGTTGGCAGTCCTGGAATTAGACCAGATCTCCTACTGTAGGAAAACACTAGGTTGGCATCGCCACTCAGTTCAATTGTGAGATCCAGATTTGAGGTGAATAAAGAGTAACAAACATATATCAATACCTGACATCAGCAAGTTCGTAGTACATATTCCTCATGTCGTCTTTCACGTAGATGGCAACGCTGGGCGACTCCAACATCTTCATGCTGAGCTGTGGCGAGAAGGCACTGACAAACAGAGCTCTGATGGTGTCGATACTGGTGATCTCATTGGGCATGCGGATCTGTTTGGTCTCATCCCCGTACTGAAGATACAGAACGCCTAAGGAAAGAAAATCCACAGGGTTAACCTGGAAGCGACATTCAAGATCTCTCAACGACCGAGAAGGAATGTGCAGTTTGTTTTTCCTTTTAAGACCAAGTTCACAAATTTTATCAATACATTTGCTTTGGTCTATAGTATAAATGAATGCCCTGTCATTCAATCTCTGAGGAACAAAAGCTCTGGTGCTCCTGTTTCAGGAAGTAGATTTTACCCAGGGGAGAGATGTGCAGAAGCTGGCAAAATTTTATTTCCTGATACTTGGACATCTCTCCTCTGATTGGCTCACAGCAATGCAACCCTTTTGGTGACTCTGTTTGCTTTGCCAAGTTAATGTTTTACCTCAACAAACAACACAAGCTGGAAGTTCTGCCGTGTTGTGGAGTTGCTAATGCTAACAGTTAGCTTCTACCAGCTGAGACAAACTCTGCTCTCTCCTGGACGCTAAATCAACACAACCGTCCGTGAATGTTAATTGACATGTGATCGTGTGATGTTGATCTGTGTGGCAGGAGACCATGTTCATGTACAGCCTGAATGTAAAACTCAAAGAGACTGGTCATGTTTCAAATTTAACAAGTAAAAATGGTTTCTCAGTTAAATTGTTTTTCAGTGAAATTGCTAAGATTGTAAAATCTAATGGGTTATGAAAATATGAGGAGCATGCTATCACCACCTTGGTCTGATAGGCTTAAGGTAGCATGCTTGTACTTACTCATGGTGTCTCACAAGGTTCTGTGCTGGGGCCTCTGCTCTTCCTCCTCTATCTGCTTCCTCTTCAGCACATCCTGAGCTCCTTCAAAGGAATCTCCTACCATCTTTACGCATATGACATCCAACTGTACATCTCCTTTAATCCCCATGAGATGTCTAATCTTCAGCTGTTACACACCTGCTTAGACTCTATTAAAACCTGGATGGCTGGGAGCTTTCTACAGCTGAATGAAGATAAGACTGTGATCCTCATCTGTGCCCCAGACAAGCTGGTTCCCAAAGTCAGAGACTCTCTTGGTCAGCTTGCTTCCCACACCCAACCTTCCATCAGGAATCTTGGCGTGACCTTTGACCCAGCTCTCACCCTGGATTCTCATGTCAGTTCTCTTGTTCGTTCTTCCTTCTTCCATCTCAGGAACATTGCTAAGCTGAGTCTCATTCTGTCCCGCTCTGAACTTGAGACAGTTATCCACACCTTCATCTCCTCATGCTTAGACTACTGTAACTCTCTTTTCACGTGTCTGAGCAGAACCTCCCTGAACCGTCTACAGGTGGTTCAGAATGCCTGTGCTCGGCTTCTGACCAAGTCCTCCAAACACACCCACATCACCCCGCTTCTCCTCCAGCTTCATTGGCTGCCAGTCAACTTCAGTGTTCATTTCAAGATCCTGGTTCTGGTCTATAGGGCCTTACATGGACAAGCACCATCTTACATTGGTGATCTTCGTAGTCCCTACACCCCCAGCAGGTCCCTGAGGTCCAGTGATCAAAGCCTACTGGTTGTGCAGCACCAGGCTAAAGACCAAAGGTGACAGATCATTTGCTGCTGTGGCCCCCAGACTCTGGAACTCTCTCCCCTTGAGCCTGCGATCAGTGGACTCGGTGGTCTCCTTTAAAAAGCAGCTGAATACTCACTTGTTCAAGCTGACTTTTGTATGACCTTCTTCACCTCTCTCTTTATTCTGCTCTCCCCACCTATTCCACCTTCCTCAGGATCCACTGATTTCTCTCTTTCCTATTCACTCTCTCTCTTTCTTAACATTTTTTCTTTTAAATCCCAATTGCCTATTTTTGCTCATTTAAATATATTTTTAAACATTTTCTAAATACTTTCTTTATATTTTTACTTTTTTTTTTGTTTTTGTGAAGCGCCTCGTGATTTTTATCTTGAGAGGCGCTATAGAAATATTTTCTTCTTCTTTCTTCTTCTTGTTTATCCTCAAAAATCAGACCAAGAAAATCCAATGTGTTTCAAAGCCCAGATTTATGATCAGAGTGGCTCTGATGTCCTTCTGAGCAGACCAGAGTGCTCTTAACACACCACACAAGGTAGGAATATCTGATAAGATAATCTTAAGATCCATTACAATAACTGAGCACAACCTTAAAATTTTAGGAAGGGGTGGGGCTGGTCAAAACTGGCATGATTCACTTCACTTTGCGAACTCTAGTTCGACATAAATTGAAAAACATTCATACTTTCACTTTTCTCTGGAAGTTGCACAATGCAGCTCAGCAAATTTCCAGCACAGTCTCATTGTGTAAACATAGAAATCACTATTTTGGGTTCTAAATTAAGCATCAGAAGATATTCTAGCCTGCTGTACAACAAAAAACTAACGAATAAAAACGAATCATTAAAAAAATGCATTTAAACAAAACGTAACACTGCGTCAAATCTGCAGGAATTTTTTCAAGAAGAAAAATCAAAATCTCCTTGGTTACACTGGGACGTGGTGCAGAAACAGAGTTAAAAGTAAATCTGTGAGCTAAGGGTGGAACAGTAAATGTTGTGTATCAAATAGACCAAAGCTTGAACCTCTGAACCCTGGGTGTGGCCTCTGTACTGTGTTTTAGAAAAACAGATGTCGCTCCCACAAAATTTATGAACACGCCCACACTGCACTTGTGTAAACATTACCAGGGAGGGAAAACGATTCACTTGTATTTCCAGTCTTTGATTTACTGTTTTAATTAATGTGATACAAATATTTCTAAGGCAACAATGGAACTTTAGACAATTACGAAACTGGTTAAAAAAGCTGCGTCACATAAAAAAAAGTCTCACTTTCTAACAGACAAAGGGGATTTCAAAGACCATTTGTTGGATTTTTTGTTCCCTCAGTAGAAACAGCTCAATTTCAGACAAGTAAGCATGATTTTACTTGGTGCAAACGCCATAAAAAAGCCAGTAAAAGCTACCAGATGTTAGTGAAATATTATACAAGATCCTACATGCTCCACGAGACGGAGTGTGGGCACATTCAGGAAATAAAAGTGCTGAGTCTCTCCATTGCTTATTCAGGACTGTCTGGGTTTCTGGGCAGGAACACCTCAACAAATTGCCCATTAGAAGTAAAACTTTATACTTTCCTTTGGGTCACAACTTTCATCCAGATGAATAAAAAAGTTTGGTGGCAAAGTGCCAGTCATCACAATTGCTTTACAGGGATTTATTTTTGCTTTGAAACATCAAAAAAATATATCTAATGGGAAGTTTATACCACAAAGGAATGGTGTTACATCTCTTAAGTGTTTGATTTTGTGCTCAGGAAACAGATGGCCAAAGGGTTTTGTGACCAAATGGACACATCAGAGCTTCAGTTTATTGGAAATCTCTCCAATAAGAAACAAGTTCAAACTAAACACAGACACAAATAGCATCCTTCCATGTTCTTTCCAAGAGTTTTAAAACACCCTAAAAATGAGAAAAACACTACAATAAAGCCGCAAATCAATCCTATGAAGATATCATATTGTAAACAAATGTTATACTCACATTATAAGTGGTTCCTTTTGTCTTTGTGTTCTTATGAAGCTAAGGAGAAGACCACGCTGTAACTCCAAATCCCCAAATGTCCGTTGGACTAAGTGAAGCGTGTATCTGGGTGTATGAATGTGTGTGAGACACTGTGGGAGGGACGCAGCCATAAAGTGGTGCCCCAGTTTTTTTTCTCCTCCGCTTCATCACACCATAACACCCCCCCCCCACACACACACACACACACACACACACACACACACACAGACAGTTACGATGCTTTGACTTGATGTATTTAATGGTAAAACAATGTCTGCATGGGCATGTGTGTGTTTTAAAGCCTACTTGTTGTGTTTTGGCTGGTATTCTAATCACCTAAAACTGTGGAAAAAAGACTCCCCGTGGTTCTATTCACTTTCAAGTTGATCGCAAATTCTTCTACCCAAAAGCAAATTTCTCACCAGGTCGTGTCAGCCAAGTTTGAAGAAAAATGACGTAATGCATTCTTTAGAGAGTTTGCAAACTCTGCAAAAACATTCAGTGACTATTATAGCAAAAGAAGCTTTTTCTGGGTTTTCTGTAAGATTTGAACTTTTAAACAGTGTAGCATTAACTTTCCTCATAGAGGCTGAATAAAGCCATATTTGAGCTACTGATATTTTAAACAATCCGATAACAGTGAGAATGAAAAAGTTTATTAGTGTAATTGTCCCTTTTCCTCACACACAAGGAGGTCATCTTGGACTTCCAGGTTGGAGTCAGTTAGAAATCTCAAGTTATCTCAGTTGGAATTCCAGTGAATTCCAGTTTGCTGAGTAAAGCAGGTCGCTGTGAATGGATGATGTTGATGACAAATGATAGCCTGGCAAGCCATCCTATATATGTGAATATATAGTCTGGCCATGACCCATTGGCAGAGCATGGTCGTGGGGCAGAATCTACTGTTGTCTCATGCTATTGGACAACAACGATGAGACTTCACCGCTACGGATGTGAGTCAATGGGGCAGTCCACTATACATTCATAGAAGATGCAAATACATCCTTTTTCTAAATAAAGAACTTCAGCACCTCTATCTGCTCTTGACAAAAAAAGAAATAAAAGCACAAGTCTAAATAGTCCATAATTGATGCCAAAGGCGTTTCAAATGAGCGGCCCCATCTTAGTTGTTTCAGTCTGTCACATCATCCTGCCCACCAAACCGATAGAGCATTGTGATTGGCCCACCAAACCATTAGGGTGTTTTCATTGGCCCATCACACTGACAGAAAGCTGTGATTGGCCCACCAAACCGATAGGGTGCTTTGATTTGCTTATCAAACCACTAAAAAGACAGAAGACTGGTCTGGCCTGCTGAGACTCCTATGGAGCATGGCTAGACCAACACGCAGAGCAAAATCATTTCGCTTTGGCTACTGACTGTCTAGATTTCTAGGCTAGATGAACGACGCTCTATGAATAGAATAATTATGTAACAAGACATTTAGGACAATGTAGCTGCTTCATGCATAAACACTTAGCTATTTAATATTAAATCATATTTTGTACGGCTTAGCAGAAATGTTAAAAGCAGAGGTGGAGTGGTAGATTCGCCGTTCACTGAGTGATCTGAGGAGTCGTAGTCCACCTCGCATTAAGACCAAGACAGTGTTTCTACGTGACAAAAACTTTGATTTATACAGTTTTCTTTTGAACAAAGGTGATTCAGGATCAGAGCTATAGTGTGACTTCAAAGGACTCTAAAAAGCCAAATAGATCTCCATGTCAATGGGACAAGCCTAAAATCCATCACTGAAGTGCTGTGATATTTATACCCTGAGGCAGAATTGCATTAAAAAAGGATTCTTCAGGAAAAGGCTCTGGATCATTTAAAAAACCACCAAAGCAGCATTCACAGACGGTAAAATAAATCAATGTCAGAACTTTTTCTGGGCTTGCGCTTGTATGAACTATCTTGTGCTGTATTTCAACTTCTTTCTGGCAAAAGCAATTCATTGTCACATTTTGCTGTACTTAAAACATTTAATGTGTTCTATTTATAAATTTAAACAAAATATGCAAAGGTTTTTCACATTCACCAAACATGCAGCATACCTAGAGAGCGGTCTTTTGTCTGGTTGGCTGATCGAACGACGGGCAGGCTGGCACGAATCCGACTGCCCCTGGTAAAGGCTGTAGGTGCATCTGTCTCAGACATGGTGTCCAGTGATTCTACAGACGCCAAGGAAAGATGGTCGACCTGGTCGCCAACGCTCGGTTGGGGGCTGGGCCCGTGCTTCGGACTTCTGCTCTGCAGGGGGATGCAAAAGCATAGAGTGAGTGTCCTCTGTAAGCAATGATGTTTACTTCATATTCTGCATAGCATACATCTTCAAATGTAGAAAACAATCTTTTATGGTGGTTTGCTCATGCACGACATAAAAATAAAACCAAAGCCATGCAAATGTGCAAATAGGTGTTTCCCAGTTTCTTAAAACGACACACCTCTACATCACTGTAGTTACAGTTATTAACCATAAACAAGCGTCTGCACTTTTGAAATATTAAAATGTAAAATGTGGACTGAGAAGAAATATTGATTTAAAAAGATGTTGCTTTGATCTCATTGACAAGACAATGTGTGACATCCATTGTGCAGCCGTGTTGAGCTGAAAACTCAGGTTCTCACTGGGCTGTACAGAAATAGTGAGAAATTTGAGGAGTTATTAAAATTCTCAAAACATCCACGGAGGTTCTTCTTTTATTCATTTTTATGTTGCAGGAATTGAGGATGTGTTGAGAAAAATTAGCAAGACTAAATGATCACATTCAATTCAGTTTATTTATATAGCGCCAAATCACGACAAGTCGTCTCAAGGCACTTCACTACGTAAACGTTCCAATACAGTTCAGTTCATTAAGCCAGTCAGTAAAAGGTTCCTTAGTCATCGAATCATTGACAGGCATCCATGTCTTTACAGCAATCCTTATACTAAACAACGTAGCGACAGTGGAGAGGAAAACTCCCTTTTAACAGAAGAACTTTCACGTCTAGAACTCACCAAACCCTTCTAAGTTTATGTGAGTCAAAACGGGAAAGAAATAAAGACACAGCTTAGGAAGTAGTCTCTGACCAAATAAGGTATAGAAAGAGGGCAAATTGATACTAAACTAAAATATAGCTACAACACTTTTTTTCCCCCCAAATTGTGTCAAGAAAATGTTCCAGTTAGTTTGCAAACGTGAACCAGCCATATATAAAACTTGTAGCAAAAGTGTTGAATTAGCTAATTCTGTGTGATTCTGACTGAAAATTGTCACATTTCCTGTAACTTTGTGTCTCCAACTAGTCCCCAACAGTCGCAGCCCAGTGAGACATGGCCGCACAGCAGTGCTGTAACTGCAAAGCAAGCAAACGCTAATGAAAAAAATAAAAGTTATGAAACAACCTTCTCCTCCAGCACTAGTTCAGTGCTGCAGAGCGAATGAAGCTACAGACACAAGGCCAAGCCCATCACCTGCGTGCACATGCTGCTGTCACACACTGACAGAAAAATGAATACTCCTCCAATAAAGCCAATATTTTTAAAGCTTTTTTTTTTTTTTTTGGACAGAACTGGTTTTGCCTGGCAGCCAAGGCAGAATGGCAGGCACAGACAGAGCAAGCGCTTAAGTACCCAGGGGCACAAGTGTTGGGAACATAATGTCACAAAGCATATGCTAGTGAGAATACAGCCACACTCACACACACACACACACTGACACACTAACCACCATGATGCAGATAAGATAAAGGGCCAACTAACTCTGTGGGGCAATCGGATTTTCACCAAATACCGCTGAATGTCAAGCTCAGTGTGAAAGGAGGAGAGCATGCCCTGCAAAGACTGATGGGAGGGGGGAAACAAAGACAGAGAGGGAGAAAACAAAAAGTACATGGCTAAGAAACGCCAGCGGGGACTTGAGATGGAAGAAGAGATGTTCATCTAAGAAAACAGAAAACCAAGGAAACAAATAAATGTCACAAGAAACGAAGAAAGAAACAAGAAGGATGCAAAGGCAGCTTGCAACATTTCATTAGTTATTTTATTAAACACCAGTTAAAGTTACTGTTATTATAGTACATTTGCATGAGCTGTTTGCAAGGTGTGGGACACATGTTTAATACATGTGCAATTGTCTCTAGCTGGAATGAATGTCTTCTAAGTTGTACTCAGGGGAAAAAGCACAGATGTGCCTGTTTCAGGAACTAGAAGTGAGCCACATCAGAGGAGAGCTGAACACGGCAGGATTTGGGGTCTTTTTCCTCATATTTGGACATCTCACCTCGGATTGGATAACAGGAATGCAACTCTACCACTAACTCAGCTTGCTTTGCAACGTTGATGTTTTATCTCCATAAATAACTCAAGCCTGAGGAGTTCTGCTGTGTGGTGGAGTTGCTAATGCTAACAGTTAACTTCTACTGAAGGAGACGTTCTCTGCTGATTCCTGAATGCTAAACCAACAACAGCCTTTCCTGCTGTGAGTCAAGATGGGTGAGCCCATGAATGTTGAGGAAGTGACAGTGTGACATAAATCTGTCAGTATTATCAAATCATTGTCAATTTTTTATTAGAAGCTAATGCATGAGATAGGTGTAGGAGACTATTTTCATGTTCAGCCTGCATTAAAAAGTCAGAGTGGCTGATTATAATCAAAAATAAGTTGTGTTCCGTGCCTTTAAAATGCTGAGTCAAGCCTCAACTTAAAAAACAAGCCTCTTCTGCATGAATCAGAGAATAAAATTACCAACTGAAAACATGCTTTTATTCTAGTAATGTGGCTGATAGTCAACTTTTCGAGCAGAGGTCACATAGAGTTTACATGTAACCTGAAACTAGACGTGTTGGGAACTGAAACTGAACACTGAATGATTTATAAGCTTATTTAGTGATGATAGGTTCAAACAGACCTCCTACACTATTCGAACTGCTACTGTGTTCCCTATAGGAACATATCACCTGTACCTACATCACCTGTAGCTACTAATTAAGTCAGAATGGTCTGTCAGTGCAATTCAACATAGTTATAACTCTTCGGTCGCAGAAAATTGTTTTCATAAAATACAGTTGACGTCAGTACATATTCAGCCATTAGATCAACTTGAAACATGTAAAGCAAACTATATATTTAAAAAATACAAATCTGTGAGGAAACTTGTTGAAATCTTAAAGTGACGATGGGGTGATAGGGGGCAGTGCACACCTAAATCACTGCAAACAAGCAGTATTTTTGTGTTCAAGTAGGACCTTACCAATGGATGGCCATTAGGGTCAAAGAGCCCTGGGAGCGCCACCTCCAGCAAAATGACAAGCACATCAGGCTCTCATCACTGGCAGCAAGTGAAGAGGTAAATGTGTAAAACAACATTCATGAATGGTGAACGTGTTGTAACTGTTCATCACAAATCTCTAAAAGCATTTTGTCCTCATAGGCTCCTGTAGAAGGAAAATGGCATCTAATATGGCACCGCCCAAATACTTAGACCCACTCCCATGTCTAAACCCAATTTTATATGTTATGAAGCAAGTTTTTTTTTCAACAACTGGGCATCATTTAATTCATTTTAACAGCATTTCTATGGATATTTGGATAACAGGATTGCAACAAATCTTGATAATTAAATTGGTAAAAGGAGTTCATAAATTACCAGTGAACTTATGTACAAGTCTTTGTGACATTTTTAGCTATTTTATCTGCCTCTGATCAGAGCATACCAACATTCAAAAGACTCAAATAATGACAAATCATATTAACCAGTTTGATTTTAAGCATTACAACACCAGTTTCTTTAAATGGGGTAAATTCTTGGTCTATGGTATGACTAATGAGGTGAAAGCTCAGAACTCACAAAAGGAGCAAATGGAGCTCTTTTCTGGTTGGTTGAATTTGGCAAATGTAAAAGCTACAGTATGCACGGGAAATTCCATCACTCATTTAGAAGAGGGTAATTAAGTTAAATCACTCCAAAAGAGCTCACATGTGACAAATGAGACGCTCCGTTAAATTTCGTTGTCGTCGTATTCCTCCGCTTATCTGGGTCTGGGTCGCGGGGGCAGCATCCCAACTAGGGAGCTCCAGACCGTCCTCTCCCCGGCCTTCTCCACCAGCTCCTCTGGCAGGACCCCAAGGCGTTCCCGGACCAGATTGGAGATATAACCTCTCCAACGTGTCCTGGGTCGACCCGGGGGCCTCCTGCCGGCAGGACATGCCCGAAACACCTCCCCGGGGAGGCGTCCAGGAGGCATCCTGACCAGGTGCCGAAACACCTCCCCGGGGAGGCGTCCAGGAGGCATCCTGACCAGGTGCCCAAACCACCTCAACTGACTCCTTTCGATCCGGAGGAGAAGCGGTTCTACTCCGAGTCCCTCCCGAATGTCCGAGCTCCTCACCCTATCTCTAAGGCTGAGTCCGGCCACCCTACGGAGGAAACTCAGCTCGGCCGCTTGTATCCGCAATCTCGTTCTTTCGGTCATTACCCAAAGCTCATGACGATAGGTGAGGATTGGGACGTAGATCGACCGGTAAATCGAGAGCCTGGCTTTCTGGCTCAGCTCCCTCTTCACTACGACAAATCGGCTCAGCGTCCGCATCACTGCAGACACCAAACCAATCCGCCTGTCGATCCCCCGACCCCTCCTACCCTCACTCGTGAACAAGACCTCGAGATACTTAAACTCCTCCACTTGAGGTAGGACCTCTCCCCCGACCCGGAGTTGGCAAGACACCCTTTCCCAGTCGGGAACCATGGTCTCAGATTTGGAGGTGCTGATCCTCATCCCAGCCGCTTCACACTCGGCTGCGAACCTACCCAGCAAGAGCTGAAGGTCAGAGCTGGATGAAGCTAGGAGGACCACATCATCCGCAAAAAGCAGAGACGAGATTCTCCTGCCACCAAACTCGACACACTCCACACCACGGCTGCGTCTAGAAATTCTGCCCGTAAAGGTAACGAACAGAACCGGTGACAAAGGGCAGCCCTGGCGGAGTCCAACCCTCACTGGGAACAGGTCCGACTTACTACCGGCTATGCGGACCAAACTCACGCTCCTCTGGTAAAGGGACTGAATTGCCCTCAACAGAAATCCACCCACCCCATACTCCTGGAGCGTCCCCCACAGGGTGCCCCTGGGGACACAGTCATAAACCTTCTCCAAATCCACAAAACACATGTGGATTGGTTGGGCAAACTCCCATGCCCCCTCCATCACCCTTGCAAGGGTATAGAGCTGGTCCACAGTTCCACGGCCAGGACGAAAATCACATTGC